ACGACCTACTAGAGCTGTAGTTGATCACTGTACATCTACGACCTACTAGAGCTGTAGTGGGTCACTGTACATCCACGACCTACTAGAACTGTAGTGGGTCACTGTAGATCCACGACCTACTGGAGCTGTAGTTGGTCATTGTAGATCCACGACCTACTAGAGCTGTAGTGGATCACTGTACATCTACGACCTACTAGAGCTGTAGTTGCTCATTGTACATCCACGACCTACTAGAACTCTAGTGGGCCACTGTACATCCCATATAATCCCTCAAATTCACTTATACACCCGAAAGACGCCGGATCCTAAAAATACACACACAGATAACCCCCAAAACACAATACCCTTACACACAACCCCGAAAACACAATACCCTTACACACAATCACCAATACACAATACCCTAACAGACAACCCCCAATACACTGTATCTTACAGACAACCCCCAATACACTGTATATCACAGACAACCCCCAATACACTGTATATCACAGACAACCCCCAATACACTGTATATCACAGACAACCCCCAATACACTGTATCTCACAAACGACCCCCAATACACGGTATCTCACAGACAACCCCCAATACACTCTACATCAGCGGTTCTTTGGGGGTAGAACGAACCTTACACAGGGGTCGCCTAAGACCATCGGAAAACACATGTTTATGAGGCAGCAACGAAAATTATTGTATGTTTGGGGGTCACCACAACATGATGAACTGTATTAAAGGGTCGCGGCATTAGGAAGGTTGAGAACCACTGCTCTACAGTCACAGACAACGACCATGACATCCATTTCTAACTCTGCAGGCATAGAAAAGAATGTTAGGCTCATCTTGTTACCACGATCAATTTATCATTATCATACAAGGATCCCATATATGTTATATTTTTTTTTTAAAGTATTTTTGTTGGTGTTTGCTGGTTATACGTTATTCTGAAGACGCAGGTGAACAAATTATTGATTCCTTCCAATCAATAAAACAATAAAAACTATTTTATGTTATTGATAAAATTGTGTCTTTCGATAAAGTTTCCCATAGACCCTTGTAGTGGTAAACCGTGAATGATTTATTTTTTTTTAAGCTGCCCAGGGAAAGCTCCCAAATTTTTAATTTAAACATTGTGCAACATCAGTTCATTTCTTTGCACATATGATCACATTTTTCAGCCCCTACGGCTCAAAGCCTTAAACTTGCGATTGAGCAAACCCACTTTAGGACACTACAACTAGGGTTATTATTTCCCTTGTCACCCAGAGTTATCACTCTTGACTGACAAGTACAAAGAATTGAAAAAGATGGGTTCGCACATGGATGAATTCAATGATATTGGATACATATTATTGATTCGAATAATTTTTTAACAAGTGGAATAGACAGAATTCGGGACAAATTATCCATAGGCAGACGGGTCATTAGGGTTTTTTTTCAACCAATGCGGTAAATGCATGGTGTCAACAGACGTGTCCAACCATAGACCCCCCTCTGCTTACCCTGATAGCAAACCGTTCTGTGTGGCATCTGTTCAAAAGGCACATTGTTCTTTTGGCACTCTGCTCTTGTACTTAACGACAAGCAGTTGTGAAACCATCTCGAAAGAACACTTTAAAATGTTCGTTTTTTTTCTTCTTTTATTTTGTTGTCCCTGTTATGGTTCCTTTCGGTGCAACCACACGCACAGCACCCCTAGGTGCCCCCACACCATAGGATTATATTGTTTATGTTTGTTTTCTGGAGAAAAGGGCGCGTAATCATGGCCTAGCGCCGGGTCCCGTAAACGTCAAATTGTGACAGGTGACAGGTTACCAAATCAATTAATTTGATATTATAATAAAAAATACAAAGGAACGTGTAAAAAATCACATTTTGGCAAGTTGGATTTTGATTTTTTGTTAAACTTCTTCAATATGTTATATACTTTTATTTTTAAAAATCTTCAAATAAACCGTACACAATAAACCTGTAAAGTTTAAAGAAGAAAAACAAAAAAGCTGCACAAAGAATCAAACAACAGGCTACTGACCCGAAGGAAAGTCCCATCAAACTTATGAAAATATGAGTTCGTAAAGTAAAGCTCGTTCAATTTTTATTCAAATTAAATCCACATTTAAACAAATGTATATTTTTAATTTACATAATGTATGTATGGAATTGGGAAGGGTCCTGGCATAATTATCTATGTTTATTTTTTTAAAGGGAATGGGACATAAACACATATAAACTTTGGGGGGGGGGGAGGAGGGACTTTAGAAGTTTACTTATTTACAAAAAATCTTCTTCTTCTTCTTCTATATCTTAAGGGCCCACGATTATTAATTATAATAATGTTTTTTTAAAGTTGTGAGATCATTTTTAATTTATGACATATCTTATTATATACATATCTAGAGACTTTTTAATTAAAATAAAATTAAATGAGATATTTAATTGGTAATCGAAAAAAGCTTCTAAATCAAACTGAATTTTGAAAACATTCAGAAGTGCTACAGAGTAGCTTTTTCCCACTAAAGGGCCTTGGCCAAGATCTTTAAGGGGTTTCGTGAAGGCCAAATGGATGAAACTGAAATCAATTGATTCGTAAAGTATTCTTTACTTTTACTGTAATACATTTATATTTGTGTTCTTGTAAAGTTGTTTTTTTAAAAGTGTAAATGATATTATTTTTTTTTTTTAAATGCTTTAGTCTATAAAATATTCCCTCGCTCACACAACTCGATTTGGGAGGCCTTAGGCTTTAGCTCACTTAGCCTTTAGGGAAATCTAGCCCTGCTTGAGGGGCGAAAGCATGAACAAATGTTCCACTGTTTTAAACTGTAGTATTCCCACATCCTTCAAGCTAATCTCCTATATCAGCTTTGAGTGTGTCGTCTTTGTTAAATAAATAGCAACGCTGTCACGTGACATCATTTGGCTTGTTTTCTCACTAATAGTTATGTATTGATTAATTTATTTTATGTACACTTCTCCAAAGTTTTATAGGAATATACTCCGAAAACTCAATTCTTGATAAAACAAAATAATTAAAGTTATTGTTGGTTCCCTTTAGTTATATTTTAACGCACGGCACACTCTTGCCATAATACCGCGTGACACTATATTTAAAAAAAAAAAAAACATACTAAACTATTTGAGTTGAGTGTAGATATTGGAATTAACGTGACCCAGTAGAAAATGTATATGCCTACTTGTGGTTCCCCAAATTCGGTACCGGCTCACCGGTTGCGGAGCTCTGATTAAATGAACATACCAATTTACAAATTGTTCTTTTTTTTTTTAATTTCAGGGGCCTTACATTTATGTCAACATTATAAGGTAATTTTGACCCCCACCCACCCCCGTTCCCCTTGTCAAACTTTCAAGGACATCCCTAATTAATTATGTCAAAAATTCTTGAACCCCCACCCCAAAAGAAAATATAAATACAAATATAAATGGATATTTTAATCCTTGAACAATATAAATAAGAAAACAACAAAATTTTTAAATTTAAAAAACAATAATTTCCCAACAAATTTTACATTTTTAAGAAAAAGATCCATGACTAATCAATTTTCAATACAGAATTTATTATATCATTTTTTATTGTTAGTAAATTTCTTTCGTTCTTCTTTTTTTTTTTTTTTTTTTTTTTTCCACGTTTAATCCAAATTTTTATTTTTTTTTTTTTTTTTTTTTTGTTAATTTTTTTGTTTTTTTTTTTTTTTTTTTTTTTTTTTTTTTGCCACGTTGAAGCCAAATGTTCATCTTTCGCAACAGCGCATAGTAATTGTTTAACTTATCCTTGCCATTATTATGGGACCGTCTGACATCATCATTGTCTATTCTAACCATTCAGCGATTTTAAGATATCAGTATTTTCTATGAGTGCAATATTGACATCACCCCTCACCGTCGTTTGGCAGCACCCTCCCCCCTTCTATATTAGTCGCATCTTTTTTTGTTTGTTCTTGATGAAAATATCGAAATTTCTTAGCTCAAATAGCGCATTAACGGTGATATTCTGACCATTTGAATTTTTAAGAATTACAACAAGCTTGTTATAGACCGCCGCCTACTTCGGTTACTTGACAAAACATGTATTCACGTGCAGTGACCTTTATAAGAACCCATTTAGGGCCATTAAGTGATACCCCCACACCCCTCCCAACCAGGTTCGCAACCGCACACTTTTTTCGACGCCCCTGAACCATATTAACATTATAATGTCCCATCCCGATTTACACCGCAGATTTGTAGCACTATTTAAATTGAGACTTTTCTCGTAAAACAAAAGAAAATATTACGCACCAAACGCACTTGCGGTAATTTTTGAAGGCATAAATAGTTGCTGAGGAGAGACGTACAGGGTCCCTTCCCGAGGCCCCCCACCCCCACCTTTTTCAATCGGGAACCTTTCGTACCCCCAAGTTCTTCCCCATCAAGTTGAAAAAAAAACACTGTCGAAAGTCAATTAGTTAAATTTAGGGCGTGTTTTTAAAAAAAAATCATTTTCTTTAATTATATCGGAAGTGGGGTGGGGTGGAATCAGATTTATTAATGTCAACTTAATGCCTAATTTTTTTCATGATAAAATGACCCTCCCCAAAATCCTGAAATGGCCCCCCCCCCCTTTTTTTTTTTAACTTTTTTTTTTTTTTTTTTACCTTTTTTTTTTTTTTTTGGAAGAAACTTGCAAAAATTAATTATTTGACAATTGAACACTGAAAACAATGTTTACTGCTTTCTCATTCAAATCCTGCAAAGCTGTGAGGTCCTTTTCATAAGCTCTATGTATTATGGTTACGTCATTTAAGCATTTTGAATAGCTGTCACAGAGTTAATATTTAATATAATCCAAAATTCAAACAAAAAGAAACAGTTGCAGGAATAATAAACAAAGTATTGCAAGGCGAGCATTTACGTCATGAAATTGACCTAGTTTAGATTCCAAAACATGACCCAGTTTAACCATCACCCTCCCAGCACACATGAAACCGAGGCTCTACATGCGGAGCGAACAACAAAATGGCGGCCGACAGGGCTGGTGGTAAAGAAAAGGCAGGAATAGGTCCTGTTAGAGTTGGATATTACGAAATGGAACGAACTATAGGAAAAGGAAACTTTGCGGTTGTGAAGCTGGCCACACATATTGCCACCAAAACGAAGGTTTGTTTACGTTGTCTATTTTATTTATTTTTTTTCATTGGCATTATTGTTAGCTTTTCGATGGACTGCAAAGTAAAAGTTTAGTCAGGTTAGCATTTTTTTTATTTGTTCGCTAACTACTATCTGTGCGAGTTGTCGTTCGTTACTCAGGGAGAGTTTTTTTGAAAGAATTGTTTGGAATAACCATAAATTCTGTAAAAAAATTATGATTGGTTGCAGGAAGAAACAATGTAGAAAGATTTGATTTTTTGCCTTAAATGAGATTGTGATAAAAGTAGGCACAATTACACTAGAGCAAGAGACTATTCACTAGAGAGGATGAATAACATAAGTTGCCTAAGCCTAAATTTATATATCAAATAAATTTAAAATAAAGTTTGTAAGAATCACACATTCTCATATAATATTAATATTCTGATCTGAATCTTTCAATAATCTTGATATAAATTCTAGTCTTCCTACATTTTTCAACATCAGAGACAACACACTTTGTGAAAGGCAGGTGTTAATCTAGCACCAGCAGAGTCAAGAATAGGAATAATAGGATTCAGGATTTATAGCAAGGCAGATATGCCTAGTAAAGATAGTCTGTTAGTGTTAGCAATAGTAACTTTACTTAGTCTTATTAAGTTAAGTAGATAATATATATTGCAGTTTGTAGGCTATAGACACTATATTCTATATTTATATAACTTTTAAGTGTAGTAGGTCAAGTCACCATGACCTACTGGCCAATTAATAGACTTGTAAAGAAGAAGGCCCATACTATACACCATATATTAGTTATCTGTATTTGAGTAGTAATTCTACAAATTTTTATTTTAGTAGCTTAGATTAGACCCTTAGTTATTAATATTTTGAAAGTGATTATATTATTAGGTGTACTGGCTAAAACAAAAGTTGGCGACCTGGGGTAATTTACTCAAATGGGGTAAAAACTAAAAGACAATCTTGGAGGTAATGAGGGCTCAATAAATATAAATAAAGTTATATTACAAGCCTGTACCTTGTTTTGAGAGGAAGTTTTGTTCTGGCAACGTCACACCTAGCCAGTGCAATCGTATGATTACTAATAGTAATAGAAATACACCGAATATGTTATGGCTAGTAATAAGTAATGGTAGCTGGCATTAATGCACATCTTGTATTGTATGCATTTCATTTGGTCTTGTTGCCTAAAGTTTGTTTATCTTACTTGAAAAAATTAGAAACATAGGAGCCAGAATGATCAATTCATTGATCGTGGGCCCTCAAAATAAAGAAGAAGAAGAAGGATTTTGTTATTTTATCACATTTACTTTATTCTTTAAAAAAAAAAAAAAATAATTTGTAAAATGCTAATAAATATACAGTATAATTTAAAAGACATGCTTCTAGGGCTGTCAATGGATGCCCGGGTACCTGCTCGAGGCTCACTGCCTGTGTAATCTGCTGGGAACATATTTTTTAAGAAATTATTTTAAAATCATTAAAAAAAGGAAATAACATTTCTAAGAAGAATTTTGACCCATTAGCGTCTGCTAACACCTCTCAGATTCCCACAAGTGCTTTTCTAATGTGCATGGCTGTTACATGTCAGACGTATTCTCACGTCTGATGCTCATTCAGGGGCCTAACAATTAAGCTACAATACATTTGGTTGCTAAAATTTACTGTTGTTCTGGCAAGAATGGCATGTTATTTTAAAAACTATTGATCTGTATTGGGCTATCTATTTTCATTAAATGTTATGAACGCTCATAGGTCGGCATGTCTTACCAAGCTAACTTTATTGGACTAAAAAGTCTAGATAAAACAATCAGATTGATGTAGAATTTATTGAAATTAATATAGAAAGTAATAAGAATGATCTTTTAGTTGAAGATATATCTGAACCAGAGTGTAAAAATCAATACTATTAAATTGGTAGATAATAAAACCGATGGGTAATGGTAACCATGGTGATGGCCATTAATGACTCCATATAAACTCGTCTGCTTCACCGGGTACCTGTCTACATTGGTCGACAGGTACCTGTACAGATGTTCCAATTTTTGACAGCGTGTCTAAATGCACTGAACATTCCAAAAATAGATGAATGTCTCTTGGAAAGAAACATTTAGTCACATTTTCTTTGAGTGGATGTATTAAATTATTCTGTAAATATCAATTTAACAAGTTTATGAAAGTGCAGGTGGTATTATCTGTCTGGTAACAGGTTTAAATTGTTGATCAGTTGCTGGTACCAACTTTATCAAATTTAGAGTTGACTAAGATTTCAACTGCTGCTAGCAGGTCCTATAAAATATGCCAATCAGATCTTGTCGTGTGGAATAGTTTGGAATGCATTGAAAGAACCCAAATTTGTTGCTAAATTTTTGCACAGCTTTACCAGTCAATTACTTCTTTATCGTTTTCATAATTGAATAAACATACTTAGAGTAAATTATAAAAATCTCCCATGACCTGCTTATAATCAAACCACCCCACCACCACCCCCCCCCAACCACCCAACCCATCTTAAGAGGGATTATATATAATACTATTTTAGATAGGTACAGTCACCTACTGTGTGTATAGATATTAAATTAAGATTTACAATAAAAACCTCCCCTGACCCTCTTAAAATCAAACCCACCCCCCCCCCCCCCCCCCCCAACCACCCAACCCATCTTAAGAGGGATTATATATAATACTATTTTAGATAGGTACAGTCACCTACTGTGTGTATAGATATTAAATTAAGATTTACAAAAAATTCATTTTTTAAAGGTTATAAACAAATTATTGCATTTTTTAAAACTATAATGTAATAATGTTTTTTTGGTATATGAAACCTCAGTCTTTGCAATGCAGGGATGAAAGGGGGGCAAATTTAATAAGTTAGAAAAGAACAATGAATGCATGACTAACTGAATCTATTTATCTCTACTGTAACATGAGGAGTTATCCACTAAAATTGTACAAATAAAACTGACTGACTCCTTAACTTATTGTGCTTTCATCTTTCTCTCCTTGTTTAAAGAACCAGATCAACTCTCTAACAAAAATAAAGGCACCATGTCTTACAACAAAGAGGTCTAACCACAACCAACAAACTAACAAACCCCACCTAGTCCAGTCAAGTTAATAAAGTTTTTAAAAAATAATATAAAATTATAGCAGTTCTTTTTGCCATCATTGCAAAATCTGAGTTTATGGAATGCTAAATGATAGTAAAAAAAAAAAGCATCCTTATATGTTATAATATAGAAAAACCCACTCGTGTCCGGTTCTAATGCTTTTGTAAACTCAAGGAGGGTGGGGGAGAGAGACTAAACTTGCCTAAACTCTAGTTGCAATGGTGTATTACTTAGGTTTATTATCAGACCAAAGTCATTGTTGTTCACTTTTTATAATCCATAATGTTTTTTTTAAACAATGCTATTGCTATTATTTGGAATAATTTTTGAATGTTTGTGTCCGTCTTGTTCTAAGGTCGCCATAAAAATTGTGGATAAAACCCAGCTGGATGAAGATAATCTTGGAAAAATTTACCGGGAAATAGAAATCATGAAACTGCTGAGGCACCCCCATATAATTAGGCTTTATCAGGTAAGTGTCTTTTCCCACAAAGTTTGTAAAGATGAGTATTCTTTATAAAGAAGATTAAGATTTTTTTAAAATACAGCCTAAAGAGAATTTGAGATTTTTTTACCAACCTCCATTCATATGTCTTTGTCTAATTGAAGTTATGTGGGTTTTTTGTTGTTGACATGATTGTATTGTATTCTTGATTGTGTCAAAGTAATGAAGATTTCAAACAAAACTCTTTTTCATGATGCAGTGTCAGGAAATATGAATAATCTTTATTTATTACATTTTAACTTGCATGATTGGTGTTAAATTATCATTCATGTTTGAGAAGTGAAGCACCAACTTGGCAAAATATATTATAATTTCTTTGTCATATTTCTGCTTTTTTTCTTAGGTTATGCAATCTGAGCGGATGCTTTACTTAGTTACTGAGTATGCTAGTGGAGGAGAAATATTTGGTGAGTAATTAAGCATTAATTTTATTGTGTTCATTTGGTAGGTGTGAAATTTTATGAGGACATTGCTGTTTAATAACACCATCATTCAAATTGTCAAGTAATAAAGCCCATAATTTTATTGTTACTTGGATTAGAAGCTCAAAAGATATATGTAAGATGATATTACATTTCAGTCTTGAAGACATTTTTATTAGTATGAATGTAACATTCTCTCTTTGTATAGTAGGACATCAATGATTCATTTTATCATTATTTTTTTTGTCATTGAAACTTCTGTTGCTCAGTATTGAGTGTGTAATTACTAAATTAAGTTTCTAATAAATAAAATAGGATTTTTATAATTAGCTCTCCCTGGGATATAGTTATTAATGTTATTAGCTACCTTTTAACAAAAACCTTATCAAGATGGCCAAAGCCAAATAGCTTAAGAACCTCTTTACTATTGTACGTAAATGCCTGTGAAGCACTTGACAGCCTGAGTGCAATGTTGAGGTGGAGAAAGTGTGATCAAACCAAGCATCAGATAACTGGGCGCCTTGTTTGTTGGTTGCTTGTGTGGGACCTTCTGGTGTTGACCCATGCAGTGAACAAACTGGTGATGAGGAGAGAGCTTGTTGGCAGAGTGTTGTTTTTTTTATTGACAAGGATGGTCAGATCTAACACTAGACTCACAAGGATGGTCAGATCTAACAGTAGTCTCACAAGGATGGTCCAGATTAGCTTTACGCTGAAATAACTTGTTTCAGATAATTTAATCACAAATAAATTCTATATTTAAAATTAGAATTGCAAAAGAAAATAGGAAGACATATGGGTTATAACTTTTCACTTACTTTTTTGTACGATTCTTAATTTTTATTTTATGTTGTTTGTATTTATAACATAAGTAAAGGAATATATTGGGTATACAGCAATTGTTACAACAAGGTTCCGCCTGGCGGGCCTCTCAAATGTTGCAAACTCCTAATTATCTTGTCAGGAAGTTCAGCCTCCTGTCTAGGGTAGATTTTTGCACTTGCCATCCACATTTGAACATTTAAGAAAGATGACATGCTGTCTAATATTCTTTATTCACACATATAACCATACGTAATCTGCAAATACCAAAAAAAAAAAAAAAAAAAAAAAAAAACAAAAAAAAAAAAAAAAAAAAAAAAAAAAAAAGCTACAAGACTGACAATTTACCACACTAGAACTCTGAGAATCAATCCACACATTGAAATCCCAACAACAGGAGGACTCTTTAACACACTCTCTTGACACACTAACATTTCACATTGAACTCCCTTTCGTCCCTGGTCACACACTATCTAATCTGTCATATGTTCGTCATTCTTTCGCTTTCTGCCAATCCCACCAGAAGGCTACCAACACAACTCTCTTGAATTAAAATTCACATTCCAGAAACTACGAATCAGATCATTAAAAACAATCATCTTGAAACACAGTCTTTTAACAGTCCATTCAATTTCTTTAATCCGTTTGGTCTTTCTGCAAATGATTCAATTTAAAAAAAAAAATCACTTATTAAATTTATATTGCTAACTTTGTTGTATTTTGCATCACATCCATTCCTAGCTGTTTAGCTTAGAACAACAAATAAAATAAACAATGGTAATCTTCTTCTTCTTCTATATCTTAAGGGCCCACGATCAATTTATTGATCATTTTGGCTCCTATGCATGTAGATGGGATTTGCAATGTTTCTGTTACTGGTGGTGATGAGGAAATTAATATCCATTAATAAACAAAAATATTATAATACATAGATTATTATGTAGTTTCACAATGCTTTGCCTTTTTTGTAAAATAAATGTTACCTTCCCAACTCAACTAAGTGGCTATTGGTGACCCAAAAAATGTAATACTTAAATTATGGGAATTTAGTAGGTAGATATAGTACAAAAATGTTTTGAAAAATTATGTGTCACTCTTTAGTTTGTTTGGGATTACAATGAACATTATTGTTCTGAACCATAACTTGAAATAAATCAAATGGATGGGAAGTTAAAATATGAGCTTTTCCCTTTATACTCAACACTAGTTTTTTTTGTCTTGTCTTTCTATGATACGGTAAGAGCGCACGTCTGAATCAGAACTTTTCTTAATAATGGCTTTGGAGTTTGTATCACTCTGGGGGAGGCTGATACAGTAACCATCTTCTCCACCGCAGAGCATAAGAGAGTACTCTGGAGAGCACCATAAACACGATTATTTTTTGCTGATCGGCAACAACTTATTGTTTCTGCTGTGAAGAATGGTGTTTCCCTTTTGAAACTCCTGTCCCAGAATGACCCAAGTCACCTCCCTTGATATTGGGGCGTTACATCGATCCCTATGCCCAAATGCGGGTTTTCTGTCCCCAAGAATCACAGCCTTAAAATCATGTCTTTTCGCATTATTTTCCATTGTTGTTTAAAAAAAATTTATGTATTAATTGTTATCAGGCAGCATTTCTTGAAGCTGACAGTAAAGAAAATGATGCTGAGACTTAGTCATTCCTTATGTATCCACTGCAGCCGCTCTAACAGACTGCCCTTGAGCTTTGTTTATTATCATGGTGAAGCAGACTGACAGAAAACTTCAGTCACTTAAACTTAAAGTGGTAGTTGAAGGGGTATTTGGGGGTATTAAAACTGTTTTCCCAACCCAGACTTTGAAGATGGTTACTTCAATGACATTTCTATGTAAGGCTTTAACCGGCATGGTTGAAGTACGAACTTTCGGGCAGAGATTGTATGGTGGAATCCCTGTTGGGTTTGAAGTGTGAAAGAACTCTACTTGGTAGTGCACCACGTCCTTTAACTCAACCACAGAGTCCATAGAATGATATCTCACCGTCTCAGTAGGAAGTTGATCCAATAGAGAATTGTTAATGCTTGTGGAAGTGTTTCTTTTTGGGATGTAAGAATGGCTCTTTCCTTAACCCAAATCAAATTATCTGTGTGTAATTTTCTCAAATCTGAGAATATCTTTTCATTCAATCTATTTAGATCTTTGAAAACTTCACAGAGATTAACCAGAGTGTATAATTTGTGGATTGGACACCTTGTAGAGTGTATGACTTGTGGATTGGATACCTTGTAGTGTATAACTTGTGGATTGGATACCTTGAAGAGTGTATAACTTGTGGATTGGATACCTTGAATAGTGTATAACTTATGGTTTGGATACCTCATAGAGTGTATACCTTGTTATCATCTTCCTAAAAATTCCCATATCCCCAATATTTTATTTGGAGATGGAAGTTTGAGAACTCCCCTGCCTTTAGATTGCTTTTGAGATGAACCATCATTTTGACTCGCTAGGATCAGACTTGGAATTTAGGCTGTAGGTGAGATGACTTTAGACAGGCTTTGACCTCATCCGCACATGCTTCCTGGAGAAAGTAGGGTAGTATCTGTCTGAAGTCACCGGCCAGTAGCATATTAATCCCATCCATAAGACATATACTACGCCGGATGTCCTGAAGGTTTCTTTAAATGCTTCTATTCCCCTGTTGTGAGCCAAGGTGCACTCATCCCAATCTTGCATTCACCAAGTACCTGAGCTGTATTATTCTGTTTCATATGTTTCACAAAGTAGCCTCAGAGTGATTTATTTGAAAGGCACTTTGAAGTCAGGCTGAGAAGATAAAATAGGCATTATTGTAAGATAAAAGTATCTTTATCTTATAGTGATATTTAACTTTTAGCATATTAGATGATTAAGGTGGTCATGGTCAGTTTCAAAATACAAACTATAAATAAGCTCAGATGCATGGTTTAAGATCTTAAATGTAAAATATTCTTCTTGGATGCAAAAATATAATGCCACATGTTCATATGCAGATGACATGCAGCTATACAAGTATACCCATCCCTCTCTTGTCAATTCTGTTAAACACACCTTGCAGGAGTGCATTGGTGATGTCAAGTCATGGATTACTCTCAGCAAGTTGAAGCAAAACGATGACAAAACGGAAGAATTCCTCATACACAATTATGAATCATCCTCAAACTCAGCTCTCCCAACCTCATTTCATGTAGAAAGCTCCGATATAGAGTTCACATCCTCTGCTAGGAATATTGGTTACATCTTTCTGACAACATGTCTCTCATTAATCATATTTCTCACATCTGACACTCTGCGTACACCGCAATCTGTCAGATAAGCTCCAACCCCCACTACCTCACAGTCAGCGCAACAAAAACACTAGTCTGTGCTCTTGTTCTCTCTCGTCTTGACTATTGTAACTCTCTTCTGTCAGGTTCACCAAACATTTCATAGAAAAACTGAAGAAAGTTCAAAACTCAACTGCTAGGTTAGTTCTAAAGGCAAAAAAAAAAGTGATCACCTCACTCCACTACTTCACTCACTTCATTGGCTCCCGATACAGGCATGCATTGATTACACGCTGTCTGTTCTCTGTCACAACTTTTTCTCTGGTTCCTGCCCTTCCTATCTTACTTAACTTCTTACTGTCTATTCACCCCTTCGAATGCTTCGTTCCTCTGCAGACACGCATATTCTTTCTGTTCCCAGAACACGAACTAAGATATATGGTGAACGATCTTTCCCTTTCTGTGCCCCAAAACAATGGAATTCTCTCCCATTACACATCCACAATATAACGACCTTCACAGCCTTCAAAACTTCCCTCAAGACCTATCTCTTCAAACTGTACTATACCTACTTATTCTCAGACCCCTCTGACTGATAAACAACGCTCGATTCTGCTGGGTTCTGTCCAGGGGTAGATAGTACTTGGGTTGGTGAGGTCAAGCTTTTCACCAATTTTTGTTTTTAAATGTATAAGTTTCTGTAACTGCTAATTTTTATGTGAAGTGCAGTGAGCCTAGCCCTAGGCTGGGGTACTGTGTTAAATAAAACCATATAATAATAATATAAAATGAGACATCAAAAACATAAACCAAAAAAGACATATTTTGAAACAAGTAATTTCTTATATATTATTATGTTTTGAACCTTGGTCATTTTAAGACCACTGAAAAGCTGTATTTTACACACAAAAAACTTGCCAGTGCACGCCTAGAATACAAGAGGAATCTCCATAGAAATAAAATCAACATATTAGGGCTCGTTATTCTTGAGATCTCGTGATTAATTTGTGGGATTTGGCTTATATATATATATATATATAGATATAATATCATATAAAACAAATAGCTATATTATATGACCCCATGATGTAATTTAGATGGTGCCAAATGAGAATCTGATTACTATACTAACTTCCACTCAACACTTTTTCTTTTAGATCACCTGGTGGCTCATGGAAGGATGAATGAACGTGAAGCTCGACAGAAATTCCAACAAATTGTTTCTGCTGTATCGTACTGTCACAGTAGAGGGATTGTGCACAGAGATCTGAAAGCTGAGAACCTATTATTGGATGCAAATCTTAATATTAAAATTGCCGGTAATGAAAAGTTTTCCACTATTCTGGAGTTATTTTTTTAAAAATAATAATAAACTGAAAATAAAATGTTTTATACAGTTCAAAAACATTCATCATAATTATCTATTAAAATTTTTTTTTACTGTGCGTGTTCTTTATATTAACGTCTGCCGATGTCTGCATAAAACATAAGAGGTTGTGTTATCATGACACAAAAGGAGACAACCCAAAAAAAACAACATTTCGCTTGCATTACCAAATAAATGTTAAATTATATTAAATTTCAACCCTTTTCATTACCATACGTTTCTTGTCACTATTCAGATTTTGGTTTTAGTAATTTTTTCACACCTAATTCAACCCTGAAGACTTGGTGTGGGAGTCCACCATATGCAGCCCCAGAATTATTTGAGGGAGTTGAATATGATGCACCAAAGGTGGATGTCTGGGTATGTTCACTGTACACATGCAAATACAACATTATGTAATGTATGGTACAGATTCTTATACTAAGTTTTACATTCTTTAGGGCAGCTATACTGGTTGTCCACATGCATGGTGCATTTCCAATTCTACAACATAGTTTTTAGCTGCCAAAGTAAATGAATGATAACAAGTAAAAAGTAAAATATTTTATTTTCAATAATGAAATGCATTTGTATCCCCAGAGTCTGGGAGTGGTTCTGTATGTTCTCGTGTGTGGGGCTTTGCCGTTCGATGGAAGCACATTGCAGAGTTTACGCAACCGTGTACTAGCAGGCAAATACAGAGTTCCATTTTATATGACGAGAGGTAAGTGCACCCAAGGTTTTCTCATTTACAGTATCACTTTCATACTTGCCTATTAATGGCAATAATATATGTCTCAATCTAAAGATATCATGAAAGAAACTAAAGAAAATCCTTTACAACTTTTTTTTTTACATTTCATATCACTTAAAGCTTTTTAATAATTATTGTTTGGATTTAAGCTTTAAAAAAATAAAACAATAATTTTTTTCTTTCAAGTAATAACAAGTAATAAATTGTAGTTTAAAGTTTCATTTTTTTCTACTTAAATAACCAAATATCTCAATTAATCATTTTTTAAAGGGCAATGATTATGCAAATTTGCTCTTGCTTTTGTCAGAGAATAAAAATATTTCCAATATATGTTCCTCAGATTGTGAAAATTTAATTAGTAACATGCTTGTTGTGGACTCAGTCAAACGGTATTCAGTTGCTCAGATTGTGCAACATACATGGATGAGAGCTGGTGCTGAGGATGGTGAGACAGATGAGCTCCTGTATGAGGAACATGGTGTGTCCCTTGAGACCGACTTGGGCCAACAGATTCTTACGCACATGGCCAGTCTAGGCCTGGATACAGATGCTACCATAAAGGTACACCAAATATCAGAATCTCGCATATAATCTGATTTCTTCTCCAAGGAGGGCGAAAAGTTATGAAAGTCATTTTTACTCCAAACTTTCAGGATGTACCAGCATGCTTCTTCATGTTATTGACTATACACTACCTAATGGTGCAATAAAGAGAATGGTTAGGAACATTGTGTGACTAGTTTTAACTTTTAAAAATTATGTTAAAATATCTTTGTTAAAGTATTTGCTAGAATTGGTATGTTTTCTTGCGAGTGTGGCTAAAAAAACCATTCTATCAAATGTAGCTTAAATTTTTATTGCCAAAAAAATAAAGTAATTTTTTTAATAAAGCAATCTTATTATTTATACGTAGCCTATTCATGAACATATATGTATTTCAATTTTAAAAAATTGAACTGTTGACTTATGATAACAATCACTTTTCACATTGTGCAACTTTCAGAATAGAAACCAACAAGAAATTGAAGACTTAAAACCTAGTTTTTAAAAACTCCTGCTAACAATTCAAATAATGTTTTACTTTATCAAGCACATGTAAATCTTATTCATACCTTTGACATTATTGTTTTACTCTTTAATTACAGATTTTTATGTTTATTTTTATAGTAGGTTTGTTTTAAAAAATCACTACTGTTATAACAACTAAATTGATTTCATAAAAGCATATTATGAGTTATATTTATAATTTTCCCATTCACTCTCTAGTCTGTAGAATCCAACGGCTTTGACCACCATAGTGCCATTTATCACCTTCTTGCTGATAAGTTCAGGAAACATCCACGGGCAATGGTTTCACGGTCTAGTCCTGGACCTTCTAGACCTCCGCCTATAGTCACAAGAACAGAAAGACGATCAAGTATTACAACTGGTATAGGTAAATACATTGTAGCCATTGCTCTTTCTTACACTATCATAGAGTTAAATATCTCTGTATGGATGTAAATGAGCTGACAATGTCTAATTGCTCTTTCATTTATACTTTTTTCAAAATATACCTAAAACTTACTAAATGTTTGACCTTAATAAGAACAATTAAGTCATTTATTACAATTAAAATAACATTAGAGTATGTGTGCTAGGAGAAATTATTTGAGGAGATTTTTTGGTAGATGCCTTCTTCTCTTATTTGTTACTCTGAAAAGGCGTATTAGCAGGCTTATTCCAGATTATGAAATTAATTTTTGTTCTTCAGTTGAGAGAGTGGAAGTGCCTGTTGAAGTTGACAGCATTGAGTCTTCAATGCAACCACTGACAACATCATCTCCACCGACCTCAGCTTCACCGATATCAGCACTAACATCCCACCTCAGTGCATTAGCTGCATTCCGCAGCCAGTATGCTCAGGTAACAAAAGCTGTCAATCTTATGTATGAGATAACTATCAAAACGTAATATAATCTATTTATTGTGTAAAATATAGGCTCAATTTCCCTCATTTACAATTATATTTATTTTTATGTTTTAGTAATAAGCTTGTAACAAATAAGCACTTGAAATATAAATCTACAGTTTGAAGACAGCAACCAGTCTGATTCTGATGAGGAACCATCACCAGAAGCCCTCGCCAGGTACTTGGCCATGCGTCGTCACACTGTTGGCGTTGGAGATCCAAGGCATGAAGTTACAGATGACCTTAGGGTCAAGTTGCCACCCTATTACCCTCTTATGCCTCAAAATGTTGTTAGTCATATCCTTCCTCCACTAGATGTTAATTTACCCGAGGTAGGTAAATCCAGTTAATTTCACTACATTAACTCAATACTTAATCTCATACTCCAAACTTCCTTAATATACTTCTGCATGGAGAATATAAGAAAATAAAATTTGGTGATATATGTCTTGACCTACTTTTGATCAATATAGATATCTTTAAGCTCCTTTTAAAAATGAAGATACCATAAACAAATCAAATATTTCCAGTCACAGCCTCCCATAATGTCAACTTGGACTACCAATCCTCTGGTGATGACAACCAACTACCTTCCTATTGCTGGGGACCCACATTTGCTAAGACCTCCCTTGACATTTGGACAAGGTAACAATTAATGGCTCTTAATTTAGATACTTCTGAATGTTGTGTGGCTACTTTTACAGATTCTTATGTTTGTCATCAGTAGACTGAATATTTCATAATTAAGCTTTTTTTCTTTGATCGAAGATGTACATATAACTCAATTGAGGCCTTCAAAAAATTACTTAGTTAAAATATTATCTGCTGCTGGTGTGCTTTCTATAAATATCTTCAATGGTCAAGATTAAAACCTATAGATACATTTTTAAATCTCAAAGGAAATGAAGTTAAAAAATTATTTTAAATTGCCTTATCAAATCATATAACTTAACAAAATGTTTTTTGTTGTTGTTTTTTTTTACATTTGATATATGTTCAAGTTAAATAAAGGGGATGATTGATTTTAGCAGTTTAGTTGAAAATGTAGACTTATGTATCAATTTCTGTTATTCTCTTTTAAAATTAAATTATTTCTTAACCAAATGAAATTAAAGATTTGCATTAACAGTCAATTTAGAAATACAAACGAACAGAATTATTCTTTCAGCATCATCCTTGCTTGGCCGTAGGGCATCAGATGGTGGAGCCAACATTCATCTCTTCTCACACTTTCAACGTCAGTTCTATGCCAATAGTCAGCCTGGTAGCCATGAAGGTCTGCCTCATATGCCTCAGGTGAGCTGAACACTGTCATTATAGAATTATTGAAGGAGTTGAAAAATAGATTTCTACTTAAATACTTTACAATTTTAGTTTTTTAAATTAAAAAAAACATTGAAAAAACGTTGCAATAGACTTAAATAAACATAATTTCAGTAGTGTTAATGTTTTTTCCACTACTTCTTGCGGCCTGTACAACTGTACCATCATTATGATATTCTATTCTGTATCTGATTTAGTTTTTTCCTTGACTACTACCCTTTGTACTTACACTTCATTTAACATAATATTTGAATTTATTTTCAGTCCCTATCACCCACTGGCATCCCACTGCCTACACCATCATTACACAACAGTGTGACAGTTGAGGAAACTGAAGAACAAGAGCCTGATTCCGATGCTGTTCATGAGTGAGTTCAAATTTTGCCTTGAACGATTTTTCGGTGAACTGGCTCGTTGTAAAAGGCTGGTTCATATATATATATGTATATATTTTGGTGGGCCTTTGTTGACATTTCCTAGTTTTGAGTGGACCTTAGGTCTTGTTTCCTAGGTTTGAGGGGGCCTTAGTTCACGTTTTCTAGGTTTATTTGTAACATGTATAGATGAGTCACAGTCCGAGGCTCATTTGAATATATTTTGTTTTGACATCTTTAATTTGGAAACGTTTACTTGTTCCTACATATCTAATTGAATAGATCTATCTTGAAGCTATAACTGAAAACAATGGGTATACAGATTAAAGAAACTTTTGCTGTAAAATGTAGATTAAATATGCTCACAATTTCTTAACCATTATCAAACATTTAAAAAAAATGAAGTAATTTTAATTCCACTGTTTTTGTTTACCCAAACAGCTATATGTTGAGTCGCGGCATCAACAAACGTCACACTCTGGCCATAAGTCCGGAAGAACTGCAACAAAAACTCTCACTCCAGCACAGAGGTCGAAGATCAACAGGGCTTTTGATGCCTTCTGAAAGAAGTTCACGTAAGTAACAGGATGATCAGCCTGCTCGCTGATTGTTGCACTGATCAATTTAATATCATTATAAAGTTTTATTGTGACAATTTTTTATTTCTATTAATAGACATTGTTATATTTCTCCCAATTTTTTTTAAAACAATTATTTTTATACTGGCGTCTATAGATCTGCTTTTTCTCAATCATGCAGTTTTTTTGCATTTGTCTATCCCCATCAATATGTATTATCGACTTTCTACTGCAATCAGATCGTGACTCATTTAAAGATGTCCATGCCCTGCACTTACCAAGTGAAAGGTTTTCTCCTGTGCGACGAGCAAGTGAGGGAACCACCATTTCTGGGAAAAATCAGGTATTTATGTCTCTTTCAAAAGATGATAATGAAAGGCCTGTTATCTCATGGAATATATAACCTTGGTAATGGGGCTGAAAGAATTTTTGACACAGTTGTGATGTTTTTCCCCTTTCCTTCTAGGCCTTTCTAGAAAATCTCTATAATCAAACTCTGGGTCACATCAGCTCCCAGCACAGTTCACACAGTAGTCTGAAGCAGTTACAGATAGAGTGTCATGAATTACAGGTGAGTTTTTTGCTTGATTGTGATCATAGTTTTATCTGGATATATTAATTTCTTTCTTTCTAAAGAATATCTTTTAATTATGCAGTTTAGTTCTGGTGAGCAGTTTTCAAAATGCTGAAGATGGGATTATTTTTAGAAATAAATGGCGCACAACTCTAAGAAATTTAAACATTAAATGAAGCTCCTGTTATTTATTAAAATAACTTAAAATGACAAATGTAACAATTTGCCAAGTCTCTTTAAATATATCTATTAATTTGAAAAATAATAAACGATGCTGCTGGGTGCCATCCATGGCTTGACATGTAAATAGTTATGGAATGGGTGGAGTGAATATTTGTTTTGTTTTGTTTAATTAATGGATGTTAAGTTCATGATTATTTTGTTAAATTGTATGTACAGCATGGTGAGCCCAGCCCTTGGCTGGGGTAGCACGCTATATAAAACTAATACTAATAATAATAATAATATACAGCAGAGGTGCCATAACACTCTCCAATTTTGTATGAAGGAATTTTAGTATAGATCCATCAAATCATTAAGTAATGATTACATGTGAAAAAAAAATATCTAAAATAACATTTTTTTCATAATAGTTTATGTTGACCAATAAAGAGGAGCTTTCAAATAATACTTTAATCAGTAATGCAAAGTACTTGTTAAAAGAGCAATTTAGGCATGTTAAGATATAGAGAGAACAGCCAGCACTTACATTTCTTGCATTTCTTTTATTTTTGCTTGGGTGAAGACAAATATCACGTAACTTCCTTTGGTTTCTTAATAACTGGACCCTGATTGAAATCTCTGCCTCATCATAATGCCTAATTTTTAATAAATTGTTGCACAGTGTTTAAAAATGTTTTCATACTTCCAGTCTAGTTTTTACTGTTGTGAAATAATAACTTGACTTCTTATTCAAATAAAAAAAAAATAGAAACAGTCGGGCTCCTCAATGGCAGCCGAAAAACAGGCAGAGCTGCAACAGCAGCATGCTCTACATCTTTTACAGCAGCAGTCTTTCCAGGTAATGATTGTACAACTTTTTGTTGGGCAACTTAAACAAAAATGTTCATTGAACCCTTAGACATGAATCCTGAACATAAATATTTCTTGAAATACTTGATACCTATTCAGTCTTGGACATATCTGTAGAAACATAAAATCCTATCAATTTGTACAGGATTTGATATGTACCTTGAAGCACATGAAATGGGAACATTGACAGAAAATTGACATTAAAAATGACTTCCTAGCTCATGCTATTTTTTAACAAGAGCTGTGGAGAGTTGTGTGTTGACGTCAAAGGTTACAGTTGTAAGAATTCTTGGTGAAAACCAAACAAATTTCATTAATAAAATGTTAAGTGTAACATTCATCAATTTGTTTTTATTAACAGTTTTCAACAATTTAATAATAACCCCTCATGGGTCAAGAGTCAAAGTGCTACACTAGGTGCCCTTGACTGGTTTTCTCAGCTGTGGCAACCCTGTACAAAACAAGATGTTTAATCAGGCTTGTTCTGTTATTCAATAACAAGAAGAATACTTCTGGGTAACTGGAATGGCAGGATTATTAATGTATCATTTCCTGAAATGACTGAATAAGTTGATAATTAGGGGTGTGCCGGACCCCGGTCCGGAATCCGGTTCCGCCGGATTTTGCACTATCCGGTGAAATCCGGTTCCGCCGGATTTACATGTATCCGGAACAACCGGATTCCGGAATCCGGAATATACCGGATTTCGGAATTTGCCAGATTTTGTGACTCACCGGATCATAATCTGAAATAAAAGTAATTCTCTTTCCCGAATTCCACACGATCACGATACATTAATCGATTGTTTCGAGCGTTGAGCTTGTTTAATGTTTAATATTCCGTACATACCAGAGGCTAGAGTCAGCACCGCTAATAGTGGCCAATAGTGTAGGGACTTTGATAAGAAAATTTAAACTTTTTGTAAAAATAAACCAATGGCATAGTTGAAAAGATGTAATTTTTTAAAGAATTATAACACCAAAATCATATTTTTAGCTGTTGTAGTTTTAAAGTTATGAATTTTTAAAGTACGACTTGGTTTGTCATTTTTTAACATGGACTGCATCTCCACATTCTGTGATCTCATTCCACCAATCCCGTCATGCGCAATGACTATATAGTTTATATAAGGCAACGCATTCCCTGCCTTATCACTAAAATACTGTTTAGACTTAGTTTAAACTTTCAACTTTGGCACATGAATAATTAATTAAAGCTTTCCCTGACCAATGGTTTAATAGTTTTTGCACACGGCAAACTCTTATGAATGAAACTCTGAGGTAGTACTACGATACAGTTATGCAAGTGGCTGTGAATGGTTGCCAATGACAACGTGTTGCACACGGTAAATTCTGATCATTTATAATATGGATTCTACCGGGTTGTTAAAGCTCAAATTAAAACATTCCAGTTTAAATGTCTTTAAATGCATTCTGAAACACAAGTTATCAATTATTTTGATGTAAATAGTGATAATAAATTAATATTTCCTAAGTATCGTCAACTTCCGCCATTAAAAAGGGGGGCGTGGCCAACCCCATGGCGAAATTAGGTTGAGCGAGCTGCATGACCTGCTGCGAACGCGTAGAAACATGGCGTCTCTCGTAAGACACTTATCCAAATGGAACGGAACTCAAATATATATCGAAAGTACTAATTTAATAATAAATAGACACACACATCGGAAAATTAAAAACTCGGATTTTTTGGCGCCGATTGCGAATTCCCATACACAAAAAGTAGTAGTCCACCTTGACTTACCGAAGTATCTACCAATAGTACCAAAATCCGGAATCCGGGAGAAACCGGTATCCGGATCCGGCGGATTTCGCATAAGAAAATCCGGATCCGGATCCGGTTGGAAAAAACGGATCCGGCACACCCCTATTGATAATTTAATGAATGTTAGGTTTCTGGCTTTGCTAGATAAGTAGAAAAATGGAAAGGAATTGTTGATAAAATATAATTAAAAAAACAGGAAAAATCTTCTTGGAATCATTACTAAAAAAAATTTTCTCGTTTTTCTTTTTAAGTTGCCGTTTGGTTATAGATGGTTATGAGTATCCTGTCTGATCTGATGATTCTTATTATTCACCTAATCTCATGTAGCATGAGCGTTTTGTTTCAATAAATTGTACTATCGCTGTATATAAAAATGTATCTTGTCACAGGCGAATATGAAATGTTTTTTTAAAAAATTACATAAATTGCAAAACTTAAAAAACTCTAATTTTATTTCTTTGGTGAAAACAAATATATTAATGTAGTAATTATACAACTGAGTTGATACCATCTAAAACTAGTATGCAGTTAATGTACAAAACAATGTTTTGTGATGTGACATGACTGCTGTATAATATTAATAATAATCCTTTGAAGAAACAAAGTCTAATTTACACCTGTTGTGCCATTCAAATGCCTCACTGAAAAACTTGACAAAATTTGGTTTCTGAAATATTTTTAAATTAGAAAAAGCTAATTTTTTTGTCATTGCAAACTGAATGATTGCGTGAGTGACAGTTCTGTTTTTCTTCCTCCTTTAGTGAGATTTCTCTACATTGTCGACAATCCACTTTCATTTATGGTAAATTCAAATTCAGCTTCCATTTTGCCCTATCCCTTGACATTCAACCCAAAATGTAAAGAAACAGTAACTTACTTTTATGCAAATAATCCAAATTATTTTGAGGGATTTCCGTAACAAAAAAACATATAGAGTGAATGGCACCTGAATATTGCCTTTTACAGTAAGTTTGAAACATTGTTGCCATAAGAAGTTTGAGAATGGGATTATCACTAGTAAAGCAGATTCTTAGATTTGTGATGTAAATATTACATTGGTTTTTATTGAATAGAACAGTCTTTAAAACAGATTGTTATGTACATTGGGGATTTGGAATGATTAATGATAACTTGTTAATCACTGGATGCCAGATCTAAAGTGTAACCAAGTTTAGAAACTCTTCATAGTTTATGCACAGTATTACATTTGGATGAGGTGGAATTTTGACTTTATACAGAGTTTGAATTACCAGGAACTAGCTTACCTGTCTTATACAAGCTGTCATTAAAAGCTAGTGAAGGGCTGTACACCAAAAAGAAAATGTGCATCTGTAGATGAAAAAAACAGGGTAGAGAAAAATAAAAAGTACAATCCATATTCAATGGAGGGTAAATTTATCAGTATAGGAATGTAAGTGAATAAGGTGTTCAGAAATAAGTACTTTGATGAATCTTAGTGATTGAAGATTTATGGACAACTCTCAAACACTAGTTCCTTGGTGTGGCCTACGCTGTCTAGAACTGAGGACTGGAGAGTCAGATCAGGGGGAATCTAATCTGCTTTTGCTGCATAGAAATTTATCACACTCAACATAGAACAACATTGTTTAAAAAAAAAAAAAATCGAGTAGCTGATTTTTATTATTAAAAAAACAACAAAAAAAACTCCTATCTTCTTGGCTTGAATTATTATTTTAAAAAAAGATTTGTTGACTTAGAACTGAGGACTGGAGAGTCAGATCAGGGGGAATCTAATCTGCTTTTGCTGCATAGAAATTTATCACACTCAACATAGAACAACATTGTTTAAAAAAAAAAAATCGAGTAGCTGATTTTTATTATTAAAAAAACAACAAAAAAAACTCCTATCTTCTTGGCTTGAATTATTATTTTAAAAAAAGATTTGTTGACTCTACAGTCCTGCTAGTAACCCCTTTCCACAAGTCTGTGAGTGAACTGTCCACCTGTACCTCAATCTTGAGTTATGCAATGTGTACACCTAGCTCTCTAGTGTGAGATTATTTTCTAAAAACCTCTTTTTTGCCATGTCTTTTAGAGATGATCTACTTTTAAAAGAGGGATGCACATAATATATTATCAATGGCACAATCCTAAGCTTTGGGATGTATAACCAGGTCATCTAGTACATCACAGCTGTCCACTAACATGTCTTAAATTAATTAAACAAATAAGATTTTGTCATTTTGCTTCTTTGGTTTTGGGAATTCCCTGTAAACAATGCCCTCAGATGGTGGAAGGCGCTTATTGCAAACATAATTTAAGCATGTTTCCTGCACATTCACAAATGCTGTAGACATTTCATGATAAATATTATTTAACAGATGGAGTAATAGTTTTTCACCAACACTTTTCTTATGGTTTGTGTGTTGAAATGCATTTTATACAATACTACCTTTTAATTCAGCATTTTTCAACACACCATATTTCTCGAAAAGGGGGGGGGGGCTTAAACGTAAAAAAAAAAATATATATAAAAAAAGAGTTTTTTTTTATCATAAAATTTGAAGGGGACAAAAGAAGTAAATTTAAAAAATAAAAAAATAAAAATGGGGGGGGGGTGCTTAAACGTAAAAAAAAAAAATATATATATAAAAAGAGTTTTTTTTTTATCATAACATGTGAAGGGGGCCACAGAAGTAAATTTAAAAAATAAAAAAATAAAAACACAGCTCAGTTCCGAATGGGGGCAATGTAAGTCTCCATAATATTGTTGAATTCATTGCAATTCAGATAGATAAAATTTAATTTTAAATACATATTCTGAAATGTACGCCGAAATACCCCATTCGCGCATTCTGAAATGCATTCATTACCTAACAAGGCAACAATGTAATCAGATATCGCAGTAGTCATAGTGAAAACTGTTGATATATATAAGATATGTTATTACATAGGATCTCGTGTGATAGATAATAATATCTCTTTAGTGTTTTTGGTTAATCAGAATCCAGTACACACATTTTTCTGTTTTCAAGCTATACAACCTATCCATAATAAATATGATTTTTTTTTTTTTTAAATTACACTGAACACATAGTTCATAATTTTACTATTCGTTTATTTTTTTAAAAAGAAAAACAATGACAATTCATTGGGGGCTCTTAAAATATGTTCTTATGTATTTCAGACGAGGCTGTGTCAGACACCCAGCCCACCCCCTCCTTCATCAAGGCCATTGTCCCCTGATGCCCAGTCAGCATTGCTTTATCAACAACTTCAACAACTTCAACTTCATCACATGGCATCACCATCTCCTCCATCAGCTGGGCTGCAGAGAGCATCGCCACCACTTCTAACAGGGGGTATAACTTCTGGCATTCCTATAACTGGTGCAAAATCTACAGTGGGGATATCTTCAGGCATTCCACATCAGACAGGGGGAATAATAAAGGGTTTTCCAATGACAGGAGGGATAACTTCTGGTCTGCCTAAGATTTCTATCATAGGAAATGTTGCATCAAATAGCATGGGCTGCATATACACCGGTGTGTCTAGCTCGGCCTCCAGTGGATGTATCAGCCCTCATGCATCATCTGGTCAGACATCACCGCAGTGTGTCGTTGCAGAGCCGGGCTCTATTCCTGCCCTTAGCTTCACGCAAATGATGCAAGATTTGCAGTCGGGCTCTGACACACCTCCTGAAAATTTCTCCAAACTTTTGCAGACACTGCAGAGCCCAACTCGGTTAACATCTAGCCCGGTGGGGAGCTCTGGTCAAGGGGGTTATTTTTGTGATGTTCCAGTTAGTGGCTGTGGTGGAAGTAACGGCACCCCGAGATTCATTAGTGGCCCAGGGGGATTCCAACGAAGCTCAGACTCTCCACCTCAGATGACTGTTTCCTATTCAACCATGCTTCAGAATTTTGCTCAAAGTTTACAGCGGTCTTCACCCCCTTCCAGTTTTCAAAACCTTCACATGATCAAGGAAGACACGGGAGATGCCATGGACAATGGATCAGAGGAGCATGCTGATGAAGATGATGAGGAGATGTATGACGTGGATGGTGGCAGTGTCAAACACCAGCCTTTGACCCCAACGTCATCATCGGAGCTGGATCAGTATTTCCAGGAGTCCAACCCAGTCAAGCGCAGTAGAGGAAGTCATTACAAACACAAACTGACCAACTACATCGGAAATCCACAGATCAGCATCACTGATGCCCAGGGCCATGTGACGGATGTGATCACAACTGATCCAAGTGATATGATGGAGGAGAGGAAAGAGATCCCCAGGAACTCCCTGACGGGCAACATGTCGGGGGGAGTGGATGTTTCCATGTCCAGCGCCGGCTCCACATCCCAGCTCAGGCATCAGCAGAAACTCCAGCAGTTGTTCAACCCTTCCTGGGTCAACACAAACTTGGCTAGCATTCCTGGCTCTAAGATACCCTCATCGCCATCATCCCCCTCCTCATCCTTCATGCCGTACACATCACCGGGCTTGAACAACAGTGCTACTTCCAGATCAGTCCCATACTCTTCTAGCTCTTTTTCCACAACTCCTGGTTCTGGTTCAGCAATGCGTCATCGTGGGTCTGCATCATGGCTGCGACGTCACGCTGCTGGTTACCATCAACATTCCCACCATCACCACCACCATCCCAGCCATCAGTATACAGATGTGCCGGGCGACATAAACACTCATGTAGCATGCACCTCCCCAGACGCCATCAGTTTTATTGTTCCCGCTGGACAGCAGCGTCATTATGGTAATAACTACCAAAGCATCCCACTTTTGTCAGGTCGGACCGTTTCTCCAACTTGCTTCTCACCTGATCAGTATAGTGAAGGCAGCAAGACCAATGTTGATCACCCCCTACTGTGTTATGAACATTCCATCAACATACATTCCTCTCCTTCTTCTAATGTTGCCTCCCCCGCTACATCACCAGTTCCAGTCATAACATCATCACCTCCATCCCCGACACACACAAAATCTGATACACCCTACCGGCGCTCTCCCTCTCCTCACAGCTCCACATCACCATCGCCTTCTCCACCTCAGATCATTCCTTCCATTAATGCAACCACACTTCCTTTCTCTCGTCCATCCTCTCCTCACTTCCCATCTGTTGGACCCTCACCCTCTTCATCTTCCCCCACCTATGGATGTTACTCTCCCAGCACTTCACCCTTCCCAACGCCCACCAACACGCCACGTCCTTCCATCTGCAACACAGATTCTGGTCACTCAGAGATGGATCAGGACGACGCTGTGTCCTCTGTCCTCTTGGAGATAAGTCATCGTAAGAGTGTTGAGGATGTCCTGCAGGCTGTCAAGGCTGCGCTGGATTCCATCTGCCCTCAGGTTGATTACCAGTGCTGTGAGACTTCCTTTAAACTCAATGGTCACAGTGACCTACAGATGGAGCTTGAGGTGTGTAGTGGTATGGATGGGCATGTGCCTGGCCTGCAAGTGCGCAAACTTTCTGGCAACAATTTGGAATATGCCAAGTTGTGTAGTCACCTCATGGCATGTGTTAATAACTGAGCTTGTATATTTAACAGGTTGTATGTAGCCAATCAAACAAATGCTACAGAAAAGTATCTTATCATTTTATGCTATAATTCAACCCTTGAGGGCCTAGTTTTTTTCTTTGTTGTTTAATTTATTGCAGTTGATCTAATAATAAAAAGTGGTCTCATTTTTGGATGTTAACAATGTCAAAAAGTTGTACTGCCGAAATGTTATTGATTTTGAGTTAAACACAATAATGATTGAAATTATGAAGTTCCTTTCAACTTTGAGATACTTTTAAAAATGAATAATTTTATTTTAGTTGCCTGTGAAAATGTATTTATTGTTTTAGGTAAATAAAAAGAAATTAAAGATCTAAATTCAGTCTTAGACAATGATGATGAGATTGGAGTGCCTTTGACCATTTGTCTGATCAAACTTTTGAGGACTGCATCTTATTTATTTATAGCTTTACTCATGCTAATCTCATGTACATCTCATAGCCTTTTACACAGTGGAGTTCACTTATTGGGAGAGTAAATCTATTCAGGAGCTACATTTCCTACTATCTGCTTATAAAAAAAATACACTTTTTCATTTAGTCAACACAAAGTTTCTCATTACTATCTAGTAGGTCTGAGAAATGCTAACTAGCTGGCATCTTGTTCAAGTAGATCCATTATTATTTCACTATTTCCATCACATACAAAAATCCCAAATATAGAATAGCTTAGATTTTTTCCTTCAGATTTTTTTTTTTCATTACAGTCCATTAGTCCACTGAGGATAGAAAAAAAAAGGGGAGGGGGGGTTGCTGTAAAAAAATTATAGTCTTATTCCACCAGTAGTAAAAGCATATTTTTTTACTGCAATGAAATAAGAATTGACACAAAAATAAATTTAAAGTCTTTGTGTCACACAGTAAATATCTTGGTTCTTGGCTTGATATTGACATGCAGTATGTAAAGATTTAAGGGGTTTTCCTTTAAAATGTTCTCTCCGTGACACTGCCTGATCATTCCTCTGTTTAGCTTTTCCACAACAACCATGAGTAAACCCCTCCCTCCCTTCCCACACCTCCTGGTAGTCTTAGGAGACCTTTTGGGGGAGACCTTTTGGGAGGGGGGGGGGTGACCATTCCCTCTGCAGCCAGATTGCTTTAGTTGAAAGTATATTTGTGTGAAGAAACCCAAGGCTGGTCCAACCCTGGTAAAAGAAAATCAAATATGGTTGTTCACAACCTACATACTAACCCTCCAGTTTGGCATAGTCAAAATGAAATGTTGGGCACAAAGCATGAAACTTTGGGTAATTTTTGTCTTCCACCACACTCTATTGCCCATTTGGCTTCCAAACTAATGGGTGATAATACTAGATTTACTGAAAATTGTATGGTGCTGCATGCAGTTTATTGTTTGTGTGTTGTATCTATGCAACTAGGATTTCCTATGATTAAGTATTCTCTTGGCCATATCATGCAGTCACGCACTGTCAGTCAGAAGATGTTGTAGAGAGAAACATTCGCTTTACTTCCTAATGATTAGAGCATTTTAAAATTGACGCTTTCACAAGTAATAAATAATTCTTGTAACATTAGAATGTGGGTTGAAATACACCATCATTCACAGTGATGGGCAAACAACAGCTAATTTCATTGATTTTGATATTGTCAACAATATTGTAATATAATACTAATATTATCTTATGACTTCTTGTATTTCATACAAGTAGAAGGGAGTACCACTGCATACTATTAGCATATTTTTTTTCTTAAACTTCTAAGAATTTTTGTTGTTGACACATGATAAAATATAAAAACAGGGTTCTCTGGAATACCATCCCCCACCAATCTTGCTCTTGGTTTGGGATCAACTCACTGCTGATTAAACAGGATTGTGTCTGCAAATATAGGTGACTGTACATTGAGCAGTTTTGGATGTTTAAGGCATGAATCTGCAAACTATGGCCCATGGGTGCTCATCTTTTTATCCCAATACTGTTTTCTTGTCAGCTGTTGGTGAAAATCTGAAACTAATTTTTTTCAACATCTGTCTTGGAAGAATTTTCTCCCCTTTTAAAACAAAATAGATTATTAATAATACTTGAGATGTGAGACAGTTCGTACCACCTCACACCCTCAAATAAATTAGTTTTCAGTCCTCTTTTTGTTTGAGGAGGAGTAGTAGAGAAACATTAGCTTAGTAGTAATCCAAGTTGTGTTGCAAAGTGAAGCGATGTGTGCCCCCACTTACCAGGGGAGCATTTGCCCCTCAATAGGGTAGCCCATTAAAAATTTAGGATCCTTCCTACAACTTAATTAAGTTAACTTACCCCATGCCCATTAGAAAACAATAAGTTACCTGATCCCTGGCTTAAAGGATGATAACAAACCTTTTCTCAGGTGAAAGATGATTTAGTATTGGACTGCACTGGTTGTCTTATGTAAGACAGATTATTTTCCTGCAATGTTTGTCAAGTAGTGTAAGACCAAGTTTATTTGCCTGCACAGAACTGTCTGTCTCAATGCAAAATAAGCTGGAACTATGTAAAAAAAAAAAACTGTTTTGAAAGTAGTTCTTTCAGTAACAAAATAATTTGCTGCATCTAATGTTTAGCACAGCTCTGTGTTAAAAATCATGTTACATTGTCTGAATGTTAAGGCAGGGGGTGGGGTGGGGGGTGGTATTTCATGTGCTTTAAATTAAATCCATGACTGTCAGTTGTCAAAAATTTGTGCTGGCCACCAAAGCTTGAGAACTATTTTTAACTTACATCATTATTTATAAGAGGAGTATGATTGTTGCCATGTTATTTCCTTTTTAACTTTGTATTTCATTCACCACCATTACACATCAGCTGTGCCCCACCATTTGTTATATATCAACTGTTCAGCATCATCATGTATCAACTGTGCCTATTATTACTTAACAATCATGATGCTAAAGAAATTCATGCCAATAGATCACCAGCTTATTTCTTTTTATTATTATTATTTGACTCTTATGTACTCTATACAACTCCCAATATTTATTTTTCTTTAAAAAGGGGGTTTCATGAATGCTATACATATTGCTGATGGAAACGGAGCTTTCTCATTTACCTTGTGTTGAGAAGATATTTTTTTGTGATACAAACAAAGAGTAAGTTATTTGCTTTTATATGACTTGTACAATGTATGAATAGGAACTTCAGAGAGATTTCTAATTTCACCAGTTTCATTGATTAATTTTAGTTTTTAAATCTTTTATTATTATTATTTTATTTTTTTGTAGCCCAGATATATTAATTTACATAAAGACCTCAGAAAATATAATCTGGCATTAAGTTGATTATTGCAGGATTATGGGCTTGCCAGTAGTTGTCAAAATGTGGTTGTGTTACTCATTGGTGGGTTTTGGCCATGTGCATAAACAGTCTAAAGTATAAATTATACATGTGACATTACCTAACTTGACTTGAGTATCACAGCTAATCATGAAAAAAATGGGTTTTGTATGAACAGAGTTTGAGAACTACAGATGTGGGCTGTCTGGGCAGAGCTAAAAGGGGGGCCTTATATACTAACATTTTAGTGCCGCTTTTGCTCTCCTTGAAAATACAACTTTTTTTATTATGTGTGTTTATAGATATATCTAAATCAATTTATATAGAGAAATAGGTTGAAAATGAAAAGAGAACATTTTTCTTTGCACTCCAGGTGTCCCTGTTGATCAGATGCCAAAAATTAGTTAGTAGATTCAATGGGTAATCTTGCACATGTTGCAGGGGGAATAGCCAATGATCTCTATGACCAGTGTCTGTTGAATTGGGTAGTCTATTAATTAAGTACCACTTTCTACAAACCACACCAGTGTTTTATATTGTTTTAGAACAATTATATTGATTGATTTGATGTAGTGGTCTTGACTGTTCAGTTGGTGGAAACAAAACCATGCCTTTTCTGGTCTAAATGTTAATTTATAGGGGCAGACAATTTCAGCAGAAAAAAAAAGAAAGAAGCATACAAGTTAAAAATACTTTTTATTTTTAATTGAAAATTGTGTAAAATACAACTAACTTTACATTTGAATACATCAATATTACTTAAAAATTAAAACCCATAAAACGTACTTGGGGCAAAGCAACTATGGAGTGTTGGAAGGGTCTCTGTAATAGTGAACAGTCCACAGATCAGGGGTGTCACCCCCTGTTACTTCCTGCAATAATGTAAAACTACACAAGTATTTTGTATTTATATTTGAGAAGATCACTAAGAATTGTAGTCATGTACATTGGAATAAATTTAATGTGTCTGAGGCTTATTTAATTATCTTATGCCAGGGTGATATGTGGCAGAAAATGCCCAGGAGGTTCTCTGGAGATATTATTCTTACTCTCCAGATATTGATAGCAAGGTAAACACAAATTGTTGAGAACCTGGTAAATGTTCAATTAAATTAAGATTGTGTGTGTATGTGTCTAATGTTGACAATCAAATTGTGTGATACTTGAAATTACTTATGTGGAAAGAGGTTGCAAAAATGATTGTTCTCCCTCTCTGATCAGTTTTTCTTTTTTTTTAAATTTAATAATTCAGGGGAGCACGCTAAAAGGGCCATGCTGATAATCTTGTTTTAGCAGATTGGATTACATCCCTTACCTTTTATGAATTGTATATAAGTTTATTCTAAAATTGCAATTGTGATTGATTGATGGGTTCCTTCATGTTTTAACATGCAGATCAAAATGAAAAAAGAAACTGCTGTAAGTATGTAGCTGTGAGTGGTTCCTTTCCAACAATAATTTGACACTTGCATCTGATAACTGCAGTTGACACATCAACTGTTCATGGAACATGCACTGTAGCATCCCATGGATATCTTTTTAACATATTTTTTTTCTAAAGACCACAAGCAGTGGTGAATCAAGGCCATGTTGGGATAAACTTTTGGGCACAGTCACCCATCATTTTTTAGAAAAGTAGTCTGATATTATCACCATCCCCACCCCCCTTTTTCCCACCCCTCCTCTCTTTTGACATTCATGTGGTCTTTTTAATTTGGATCCGTCAGTTAGCTACAGGTGTATATTTATTGTCAATTGTACATTTATTTTTAGATGTTTATGTAACTTTCAAAGCAGGGGGGTCTTCAAACTGGTTTTATTGCAAAATGTTTGTGGATTTTAGGCCAAATGGAATTACAGTGGACATTATTCAACATGGAAAAACTGTTGTTTTTTTTCAAATATGAACAAATGTGTCTATACAATATTATAGTTGATTACATACTAATTCAGAAAATTGAATAATGTATTATAAACCCAAAAACAGTCGTTTGTTTAAAGATGGGAATTTTATTCCATGGCAGTCTTAAGGAGTAACTGGGGAGCCCAATTTAATGTATTTAACATCAAATAATACTCAAGTTTTTTTTAATCTTAATTATTTAGATTAGGACACCAAAAGCAAAATTGAGTTGTTTTTTTTTTTGTTTTTTTTTTTTGCTTGCTATACTATTTTTAAAATGTTTCTGTCTTCTTGGTTTCTTGTTAAATTATTTTTGCTGTAATTAAAAACAAATGTTTTTTTTTATTTTAATTTTTTAGATTAGTACTCCAAAATCAAAATTTATTTGTTTTTTTTTTTGTTTTTTTTTTTGCTTGCTATACTATTTTTAAAATGTTTCTGTCTTCATGGTTTCTTGTTAAATTATTTCTGCTGTAATTAAAAACAAAATCCAGATGCATTCATTGATCTGATGCACTAACTGCTCATCCTTTAGGTGGGAACAGATTTCAAAGATGCACTTACTTATTATTTGATGGAGTATTAAGAAAAATAAAATTCATATGTTAGCTTCAATTTTTTTTTTTTAATTATGTTTCAAAATTTTTAAGTGAATTATTTCTTGATGAATTTCTAGTGCTTTTTGTTAGCCTCAATTTTTTTGTTTGAATAAAAAATATTCTCTAACTACTACCAAAGGTGTAGTAAAAAATGTTAATGACCCCTGCTGGTAAATTTTAATGTATTGATTTGTTGTGCAAGACATGGCTGTAACTCATGAATAATTAAAAAGATTCATTATTATTTTTTTATAAAAATGTTGTAGGAATAGGTTTTCTAAATAGGGTTGATTTCAAGCTTGCTGGCAAGGGGATGCAACTGATGATACTATTGTGTCTGTTTTGTTTTTTTTTAAAGCTTGTAATTCTATGATTTTGTTGTTGTTTTTTTGTTTTGTTTTTTACTCATTGCCAAATATTGTTCCTCAAATACAGCACCTTTCCATTCATTATGTTAAATTATAAAAAAAAAATATTTTAAAATCTCAAAATATAGTACTTATGATTGAATAAAATTCTGAATTCTTAATGTAACTGCTAGTGAAATGTTTTTTAAAACATTTTTTAAATGTTGTTACAAATGTGTCTATCATCAGTCAATTAGTGAGCCAATAACTGTATTGGTGCTGTGGTCACCTTACTTTTTAACATTTACCTAACTTAAGTATTAGCGACACATGGAAGGACAATCAGCTTTGATCTCACTGATGATTTTAAATAGAACATTCCTTAAAGGATATCATTCCTAGGCAGCCATTTCATCCTTGCTCTTAAGAAAACTATTCTGTAGCAACCATAAAAGCCTCCTTGACCCTTAGTAGTTAGAAGGCTACCACCTAGGCCCTGGGAGGGGAAGAATAAGGTCATCAATGCACTGGAAGTTAGAACAGCCTGTGAAACTTCACAAATCTCCCAAGGAAAATAGTAAAAGGAGAAGGCATGTTACTGGCATTTCCTTCACTCTCTAAATTTTAATGTTCACATAAACTTTTTAAAATGTTCAAATGGTAAAAAAAAAGCTTCAAGAGGGCATGGACTTGTATGGACGTATGATGTATTGAAGCATTTTGTTAAATCATGGAACAAACATGGATTTTCCATTAATTCTATTTTTTAAAGATCATTTTAGAGAATTTGAAAAAAGGCCTTGATCTTTAAAAAAAAATGCATATTCTGGCTTAATTATATATTTAAAAGTGGTGAGATGTGAACAAATTGTCTTAACAGTAACAGGCACACACTGTAGCAAATCAAACTTCTGAAACTAGCAAATATTCCATGCATGCAACAACAAATTTCAAGTACAAAGGTTTCCAGACATCAATTAAATATTTTATTTCCATCACAGAGCATAGCATAACAGGAGTCGAGATATTCATCCCAGCCCATCCTCTTCCTCCCACTCCCTGTCGTTCTCCTCCAACTCTGGCTGATCTTCCCTTCCGTTACCCTGCTCCGGGTGGTTGTTGTTGCCGCCATGAAATTGTTCATTCAGTAACTGCCTCATGGCCTGCATGATGGCCTGGACACTCTGTTGAATCTGCTGTGGTATTGCATTGCCTCCCCTCGCCCCATCAGCATCATCCTCTTCCTCTCTGTGTTGCTGTCTGGCTGAGACGTTGACTGGTTCCTGTTGGGGGTTTTGTGGATAAAGCAATAAACTTTTGATGATTTGTTGAGAAGAAATACCAAGGATGAACTACAGTCGATGCAACCAACCCACCTTCTTCACAACAGGAGATTTCAGTGGGAGTGGGGCCATGGGGAAAAATAAGGCCCCCCCCCCCTCCCCCCGAAATCCTCTTTCATCAGCGTCAATAATTATGAACTGCTGGCCATTCAGTTGACCTATCTGATGGTGAAATGAAAAGCTGAAATGAAACCCTACTCACAATAGTCAAAAATGGGTTGTAAGTTGACAGAAGATACTAGCGGGTATTGGAAATGTAGCATTTGTAACACTACTCACATATGGGTTGTAAGTAGGCAGAAGTGACTGTAGAAATGATCTCAGAACTCCACTCTGATCTTGTGAAGCCACCGTTGGTCTGACGCTGAGATGTAGAAAGAAATTGAAACAACTTGAAACAAATTTAAACTTAGTTATCCACTAAAGCATCAAATTTGGCTTTGATTTCTGCTGTTGGAAGAAATGAGTTAAATGTAACAAAGACTAAAACTATACTTCAAAATAACCAGTGTAGCTACCTGGTTAATTTCAGTATTAATCCACCTTCTACCAATTCTGCATTATTTTAATAATTACTTTAAATGTTCAGTCACATCGCAGTGAATATTTATTGAGTTCATTTTTTTAATGTAAATTATTTAATATTTTATTAATTAACTTCTGCATTCAGAAACATTAAATGTACCAGTTTCCCTTTTAGACACATATTTTGATTGCATAAGTATAAAACAGTTTAACTAACCCCACTCCATATTTTGGTACAGAGAATATGTAAATTCAGCTGTTTTAATCTTGAGAGTTAAACAGCATTGTCAAATGGTACTTTAAATTAAACTTGCGTTTTCATTGAGAAAAGTGATTGGCTAGGAATTATGCCCCAAAGTTTAAGGGGAATGTGACTTACAAGGAGACAGGACTATTTATTAGTAGGACTACTTACCAAGGAAAGAAGAAAGTCAGCTCTCTTAAATGCAGAATTTTTACCAACATATTATCTTTCCAGTTATTCAGATTTCCTAAAATATTTTTGTAACTGATGGGGTTTTATGCTCAATCCATCAGCTGATTAACTTATGCTAGTAATGTTAACTTTCGTGGGTTCATTTTAATATGAATTTTGGGACTTCATCCATCACTCATCGGCCACATTCGTTACTCACCTCCCTCAATGAAAATATGAATTCCAGTTTCTGTACACCACTTTTATTTTCACAGCAATAACACAGTAATACACAAATACGATATTCAATGTTACCTCATTTGAAATACAAGTATAATTACAAGTAACCTCTTCTTAACTCACAAATTCTTAACTCCTAAAACAACGTGGATGATCCATACTTATTCCTTATTCTCTCTATCCTAGCTTCCTTCCTGTCATCTGTGCATGCCCAAAAACTCATCCCTTTAATATCTAAATAACAAAACAATCTATTTCTATAAACATAGAGCTGTTGCAATTTTTGTAAGAAGTAAACCTACTTGGATGCAGGTCTGGTGTAAGAAATAATTGAATCAGGTGGAGGAAATGGGTCATGACTTAACACAGGACTTGACAGGAAATGCTGTTGGGAATACATGTTAAAATATACATTGAAGACTGGAAGAGATGCTGAAAGAAAACATGTTACACTAAGTATTTTTGCCCTAATGTCTTATAGAATCTATACTGAAGTAGGTCAATAAAATACAATTATGTTCTGTCAATAAAAGATATCTTGTTATCAGTTGGATCATAAATGTATAATTGTACTTCAATAAAATTTAAAACAATCATTGATGTAAATTGAAAAACCCAATTGATCAATAATTACAATTTCATTATTAGTAACTGCAGCGTTTTCCATTCAATAAAATAAAAAGTCTGACTTAACTATCAGATCATAAGAACTATCAGAAAATAAAACAAACTTTTGTTCAATATTTGAAAATAAATGTTTGCAATATCTTTTTAATACAATGAAATAAGCCTAAAAATTCAAACTGCTAGCTATAAAAACTAATAATTATTAACTTGCATAAAATAAAATTTAACAAATCTTATTTGGAACTTACCCGAGGCAAACCGAGGCCTTGTATCTCTGACAGAAAATAATGTCGGACAAGAGAAAGTGGAGGCTGTCTAAATCGCTTTTTCCTCCTGTAGAGTGAAAACAAGAATGGTATCCCAGGAAAATTAGTCAAGTAATCCAAGTATGACATCAAATACATCAAATATGGTATATAAGGCATAGGTTGATGTCATGGCCAACGGTACGTGACGTTTTGGCGCGGCCGTTTTGGCGCGGCCGTTTTGACACAGAGCCGTTTTGACGCAGGTCATTTTGGCGCACAGATGGCCTAAGCCACTATTTACCTTTCCTGCCTAAACATGCGTGCGCTTCACATTTATAAAAGTGCAAGAGTGTTCTAGACTAAAATCATAAGTTAAGTAGAGTTTCATAAATATATCACATATTATAATTCTGTTAAACCAGTAAAATGAAAAGTGTCACATCGAAGCGTGGTAAAGAAAAGTTGAATCACGAAGGATACTGTTATGTGTTCGATAAGTTTAGTGCAGACCGTAAAGTTAAATAAAAAGTTATTTTTAAACGTTTCTTAATTTATATATTATGCATTCTCTTTATTAAATGTTTATAAACGTTAAGTTAAATAAAAAGTTATTTTTAAATGGCGCCAAAATGTCCTGCGCTAAAACGGCTCTGCGCCAAAATGTCCTGCTTCGCATGGCCAATGTACTGTAAATGTGAGAAAAGTATCAGAGATCTCTGCCTGAGAATTACAATTACAAGTGGGCTATACTGCACTTATATAAATTCCTATAGACTAATGATCATACTGTAGTTACAAACCTATAATAGTTTATATTCCCATATTGTGCATATAATATAATAGCGAAATGCTCATATAGCACTTATAACAGATCATATTTTCATGATGTTCTTATTAAAATACTTCATATTCTCATACTGTACTTATTATTATACTTCATATTCTCATATGGTAGGGGTACTCACAGTATTTCATATTCTTCCAGTCTTTTGTCTGTGCCTTTTTTGACAATTTCTATCACAGCTTTAACATTCTCTTCCAGCCAGGTCATGACCTCTGCCTCCTTCCAACATGGCTGACATCGTTTCACATACAACATAATCATTCTTTGCAATTCACTAGTGCTGTAACAAGATACGGTCACTTAATTTCTTTAATCTGAGGAAGCTAAGGTCAGGTGATAGATACAATTCGACCTTATAAAATTTATTTTGTCAAGCTGTGTTACCTATTACTTATTTATTTTTTTAGTAGTATATAAACAACATTCCTCTTGGCTATGTCAAGTTTTTAATGCAATACCTTATCAAGGTTTTCAGGTAAGGGGTATTAAGTTGTTGAAAAGATCATGCTATCTGATATTTTAAGAGGTCCTATTTTGCCTGCATTTAAAAACCTTTTAAAAACTGCATACATTTAAAAAAAAAAAAAAAATTCTTTCAGCAGTGTTTCCTTAATTTAAATGTCATGCCAAATAGCATTTGACTTATCTAGAATATTCTACTTTTGGACCTTAGTGGGTCAATAGCTACATGAATTAAATTTATTACTTTTTGTAAAAAAATTTTAATTTAAAAAATAAGCCAGCAAACAAATCAACAGCAAGGATTCCCATTTTAAATTCAAATATATCTGACAGATATTATTCATCTTGGTTATGTGATAGCATAAGAATACACTGATACATACGACTTTTTTTTTTTTTTTTTTACTTATCCAGTACATTTCTAAGTTAATCAGCAAGAAATATAAGAGTGAATTGAATACAGAAAGAGAAAAAAAAAGTACTAACTTATCATGAAGCTCAGCTGTACTAGTGAATGGATGAGTCTTCACGAGTTTGTCAGGTTGCACGGAGCACTCATCCAGCAGTGGCATCAACATCATTGGGAAAAACAATAAGCTGTCCTGCAGCTGGAAGAATGCATATATTTCTTGCCCAGTCTTTAATCAATTAAGGTGGCGGAACATTGGGTAAACAAACATTTACTTATTCAGTGGGTATTAGAGGGTTTACATAAGTTTGCTCGTTCTGTGTTGTATATGGGGAAGGGGAAAAGTAGAGAGGATATAGCCCTACAGGATTTTCCGGGGGAGGAGGAGGAGGAGGGTGGTGTTTGAATGTGATTGTAATAATTTTTATTTTTGTCTCCGGAATGTCTTCTTTTTAATCTATTGTATAGTACAGGGGTTGGGAACCTGCGGCTCCGCATGCAGCTCTTTCATATTTCTCATGTAGCTCTTGGGTCTACTAGTTATTATATCAAAATTTAATATTTGGCTCTTTGACATGAAAAGGTTCCTGATCTCTGGTATAATACAATAATTTTTAGAATGTTTCATACATTTCTGGTAAAACTTCCATGTTCTATTTATGTTTTGACCTGTATAAAAAATCTTTTCTTCTTTTTAGATTTTAAAAGAACTAGTTAAAAAAAACTTCACCAACTATAAGATCTGCAGTATTTCTCTCCCTTCCGCCTTGGACTGCCAGCTTGAAGTAGGCCAAAGGAATTGACATGGCAAAATTCGGCACATGCTTCATTGCCTTTGAGGTCTGTGATGTAGGTAAAAAAAAAAATTTTTTTAATAAACGTAGAAAACTCAGGCCACCCAGAAAATGTACCAACAACAGATAAGGAAAAATTGATGTTAGCAATAATTTCATTTCACATGCTTTCATTTTATTAAAGTGTATTTTAAGTACATGCTTACCAAGACCTCTGTGTCCAAACGTACAAGATGGTCATACTGTTGGGCTCTCAAGGCAAAGTAATCAATCATGCTCATACAGTCCAGGGGATCATTGGTGGGATCAAGACTGTAAGAACAAATTTTAAACCCCCCAAAAATTCTTTCAATGTCCAACAAACACAGCAACATTTAAATTCAGACGTTTTGAAGAAGCAGACAAGATGATAGACAAGAGCACCATTTTGTACAGGGCGTACAAAAATTAATTATAAAGGCTATTTTTAGGGAAAGCAATGTTACTGAACACACAAAAGAAATGTAACAATCTTAAAAAATAGTTTTAGCGAAACAGCCAGTGGACGACAAACCATGAGTAAAAAATATCTTGATAAATGGCTTTAAGCTTGTTTGAGGTGTACACTGTATTGTTTGTTCTGCAGATTTTACTTAATGAAAATTTTTTGTAATCTAGGAGAGGACATTAGCCCAAGAGTAAGAGACTAATAATAGAAAAGCTAACAAAAAATCTACCGGGTAAACGTTTACAAAATTGCTTAGTTAAGAGTTAACTAAATCAACCCTGGTATATGCTTACTTAAATTTACCTTTTTTTCAAGTTTAACCCTACTTCGTTTAACTCATTTTATATTTTAAATTTACCTTAGTAAAAGTTTACAAAACTCAAAGGCCGTCCTGTTGCAGCCACGTCTTCCAAGATTCAAGATGTGTTTGAAAAGGCAGAGGTAGAATGACCTGTACAGACATGTATATGTGTCAAATGTTAGATAACCTCAACTGGAACAAGTCGCTGTTACATAATGTTTGTGTGACCTCCTTACTGCACATATCAACTCATTGTAGCATTAAGTCAAAATCTGGTGAGGATTTGGGTAATTGGCCATATGAGCACACTATGCAATTTTGTTTACATGGATCCATTCCTTGGATGCTAAGATTTCTTAACCAACATGAACTGCTGACTACAGATTCTTATTGGAAATTTTCCGTTTTTAATTTTAAAAAAAAATGAAGGCAGTAGAATTTTGCGAGTATCCTGTGCATTTTATAAAACAATTAGTTTTTTAGCATTGTGAAATTAAATTGACAAATTTTATACAGGGAGAGAAAAAAAATAATATCTAATGTTAACTTGCAAATTCATTATTAGCAGCAAACAATTTAACAAACATTGAGAAGCCTAGAATAGCAAACGTTTAAAAAGAAGAAAAAAAAATAAACCAGTTCCTTCTTTACTATATTAAGCCAAATTCACTGCCTCCATGTGCTATTTCCAAAACTTATGTTCCTGTTTTCTTTTCTTCCTTTGAGAGACATATGGTTTCTAACGGATGAAAGTTTTTTTTTCTATTTACCCCAACTTGCATGACCGGAAAGACAGTATTTGTAAATGTTTCCTCACCTGTTTTCAGGGTACCTGTAATTTAAGAAACAGTTTCCAGAAGCCAGGTTGAATAAAGGATGAAAAGCACACTCCATCCCATATAAGGCTTTTTCTAGTAAAAATAAAAAAAACAAAAAACAAAGAGAAGCTTAAGATAAAAAAAACTTTATACCTGGAAGGATATTTGAAAATAAATATTTCACTGATCAACTAATATGATATACCAGTACTGACAGCCCAAATGTCTCTTAGCCAATGTGAACAGATGCCATTCAGAGAGCCAAGCAGTGTAAATTTAAATTAAATATATTTGTATACCGGTAATTTAAAATAGCTAAGGACTATTCAAAAAGCAGTCTTTTAGCTTTAAGAGCAAACAGCACTACGGAAAAAAAACTGTAAAAAAAGTTATTCAGGGATGCAAAAATTTAAAAAAAAAAATACAGCTACACACAACTTACAACAAGCCAGAGGTTTATTTAAATTTAAAGATCTTCACTAACGAATGCTTTCTGCTCTAATAATCAGTTAATATTAACAAAAGGAATCAGTTCATAGTTCAATGCAAGCAACTTACCAATAGTTTCAGCAGCAGTCTGGACATCCTCATTGGCTCTCTGAAATTCTGCCATTTGAAGAAGGGCATCGATGTGGTAAGGGTGGGCTCTCAGGATGTTCTGGATTTGGTCAAAGAACATGTTCAGCTTTTTAATTTAATTAATGTTCCGCATATTTTTTATTGTTTGATTAAAATTTAGCCTTTGCCGTAAATTTGAGATCAAGATTCAGTTGCGGATGTTAAGAGCTTTGACATGAGAAAATCTATCTTTATTACTTGTCAAATGAACAGCTTTTCTTCTTCTTTTTTTTTCTTTCTAAAAACTTATACCGCTTTGTTTATGTTGTAACACTGTGATAAAGTTTCTAATCAACACACCAGTTAATGAACAACACCACAGTGAATGAACAATATACAAGTGAATGAACAACACACCAGTGAATGAACAACACACCAGTGAATGAACAACACACCAGTGAATGAACAATATACAAGTGAATGAACAACACACCAGTGAATGAAGAACACACCAGTGAATGAAGAACACACCAGTGAATGAACAACACAGCAATGAATGAACAACATACCAGTGAATGAACATTTATTGCTGATCTGTTTAAGTTTTAAGTTAAATTCATTTTTTGAAAAAAGTCCTTATGTCACAACATTGCTGCGAGACAAGTTCTATTTATACCACTGCATGGGCCAAAGTAAATTTTGAAGACCTTATTTAGGCTAACATAATAGACCACAGTAGAAGCTCATAAAACAAACAGGCTAAAAGTTATTTCTTCAATGTCCTACTACAGGTCATGTGGGAAAGCCACCCAAAGTTTAAACTACTTTCACATTTCATGTAAAATCTTCTCAAGGGAGAAAAGCTGACATGCAGCATATTATAACTATTTTTTTTAAAAAATCCAACTTACAATGATATATTCGGGTTGGCCCGACTCAACCGCATCACTAAACTGGTGCTGAATTTTCTGGTAAACGGGAGAATGCTCAAAGACAAAACCTTCTTGCTCACCCAGGTATTTCATAGACAGACCTGCAATTGTGTTAGGGATAAGTTTTTGAAATGAAGAAAGTAAAGATAAACTTTGCCTCTTGAATAAACAAGTGAAAACAGCAGGGTCTATCAAGTCTATGTGTGGGTAGTTTTGTAGGTGAACTCATCTCAAATGCAAGCAAGGAAAATCTCTCATCTACCTACACCCCCCCCCCCCAACCAAAAAAAGATATCTAGTTAAATGTATTAATGATTAATGCCACCTCTCCGTTCATCAAGAATGTTAAATCAACTTCTTAGTGATTGTATCTCCTGCCATATATATAATCTTTTCTCACAGTAAGCCAAAAAGGATCCCTTTTTAAGGGACATTGCATCATTTCAACAAGACTTATTAAAAAAAAATTTAAGTTATGTTTTTGTGAGTGTGTTTTTTTTTAATTTATCCCCCCCCCCCCCCCCCCCAACCAAAAAAAGATATCTAGTTAAATGTATTAATGATTAATGCCACCTCTCCGTTCATCAAGAATGTTAAATCAACTTCTTAGTGATTGTATCTCCTGCCATATATATAATCTTATCAAAGCCTTTGACACGCTTCCATAGAAGATGATATGAAAGCTTTAAGAATCAGTTTAAAAAAAAATTGAACTTCTACATACAGCGAAACCCCCAATGTGAGTTGAATTCCGATATGACGCGGTCGTGGCATGGCCCTTGAAATTTCATAATTTCATTCGCATTCATGTACAAAAATATGCAGTCTCATATGGGACAATCACTAATCATCCACTAAAACTGGCCAACTTCAACACCACATGTCTCACTGACCACAAGAGTTTAAGAATGTTTTTAGAACAAAAACACACATCTACCTACTTTAAAAAAAAAATACTAATGCTATAATGTAAAACCCGGCATTAATGTGACCCCACTATTAGCAGGATCCAATATTATGGACCTCAATCATTAAATTATAGTGAGGTTTCACTGAATTGAAGTACGAGTTAAACCATTGGTTCCAAATCCGTTTGACATCCAGAGCCCTTTTTAGAATCGACCTCTGTTGGGATACCCCATAGGCCTAACCCATGTCTAACAATGTAATGGTGTTAAGGGGTTTTGTGTTCAGCCATGGAGCCCCATAAAAGGTAGATATGGAGCCCTTGAAGAGCACAGGTCGGGAACCACTACCATTAACATACTATCAAACTTGCAAAGGGTCCAATCAGTGGCCATGACAGAGGGACACATTTTATGAGTTATTTAAGCAAAAAGCTTTCGTCCTTCCATTCAGTAAACATTACCCGATCCTCCTGTGCTATGCCATGTGTCCTTGGGCTGCACAAGGCGGCTGCTGCGTTGTAAGGGTCTGTTTCTATGCTGCCTCTTTCTGAGAAAACAGGATTAAAACCGAATATACATCATCGTTAGCAAAGCCTTTTTGTTTAAATAATAAAACAATTATATTTTGTAATTTGTGAATTGAGTTAGATTAATTTTTTATTGTTGCTAACAGCCAAAAGAAGATTTCTAGAAATGTAATCAATTCAAGTTACCGGTATTGGTTTAATCAATTAATCCTATAAACAGGGGAACAGGAACCATCGAAATAGGAATTACATGAACAGAAACCATGGGAATAGGAACCACAGGAACATGAACTATGGGAATAGGAACCACAGGAACAGAAACCATGGGAATAGGAAGCACAGGAACATGAACCATGGGAATAGGAACCACAGGAACAGAAAATAGTGGTTGTCAAGCTCCAAAAATTTCCTGAAAGATAGTGTAATGATATGGGGGGACTTAAAAGAACAACAACAGAACAAAAAAAGAAGCTATTTTACCTCTTTATTAAAAATACTATGTTTTTGTTAATCAATCTTTGCCCTGCCTTAAAATGAGATGCAGACACTTAAACGGGGGACACTTTATGTCAGTGAGGGCAATGTGGTTACCACTTAACAGCTCTTTGATAGAGCAGCCAATGAAAAAAATGAGTTTTAAACTGCTAACCTCTGATGATGCTCACTTCTGACTATCTCTGCACCAAACATCCGCTTCAGCTCCATCTCAGGATTCAGGTGTCTAAGAATACAGCCAAATACATATGTGACTAAACCGCGACAAGACGATTTGCTTTTCAACAGCTCGACTAGACCTTTTTCCGCAATAAATTCCATACTTAATTCTATTATGAATTTATTATTTTATAATTAATATTTGTTATCTCCCTCATATTTTAACAAAGGTTTTGAGATTTAAAGAAAAAAATAATTTAAAATTGTATCCTGGAATGTCTTGTGACGAGTGTGAAAAAAAACTATTTTGGATCCGATTTTCGGGGAGCTTAGAAGTTGGTATCTCATTTATTTATTTGTTAAAAGAGCTGAACAACACACAGGGTTCCCACACTTTTTAAAAACAAAATTCCCTACTTTTTCCCAACTTTTCCCAACTAAAAACAAAAAAATTTCTTGACTATCGCAACGCGGCGTTTCTATTGATAATATAAAATTTTAAATTGTCAAAGCAAAGCAACATTGAAATAAAACACAAATAAACAAAAAATAAAGCGATTGAGATGTACACATGCAAATATTTATTTAATTTCCTAGCAATTGCAATTTTTCTTTCTACTTGGACGTGAAAAATTGTTGATGTTTAATTTTAAAGTGCAAGGGCAACTTTTGCAATGTGTTCTCCAGGGCATTTTAGCACATACGTATAGCTACCACAACTGGAAAGCATCTTTTCTTATATGGAGTTAATGTTCTCATTTTTTGTGATGAAAATGGATAGTTTGAGTCAACACACTTTAGTGTCTATAAAATCTCTTCAATGAGGGTTTCATATTTTGACACATAAATTGGAAGCTTGACTGAGAAGTTGCAGAACTGGACACCTAAGATAGGTGATAAAACTGGACACCTAAGATAGGTGATAGAACTGGACACCTAAGATAGGTAATAGAACTGGACACCTAAGATAGGTGATAGAACTGGACACCTAAGATAGGTGATAGAACTGGACACCTAAGATAGGTGATAGAACTGGACACCTAAGATAGGTGATAGAACTGGACACCTAAGATAGGTGATAGAACTGGACACCTAAGATAGGTGATAGAACTGGACACCTAAGATAGGTGATAGAACTGGACACCTAAGATAGGTGATAGAACTGGACACCTAAGATAGGTGATAGAACTGGACACCTAAGATAGGTGATAGAACTGGACACCTAAGATAGGTGATAGAACTGGACACCTAAGATAGGTGATAGAACTGGACACCTAAGATAGGTGATAGAACTGGACACCTAAGATAGGTAATAGAACTGGACACCTAAGATAGGTAATAGAACTGGACACCTAAGATAGGTAATAGAACTGGACACCTAAGATAGGTGATAGAACTGGACACCTAAGATAGGTGATAGAACTGGACACCTAAGATAGGTGATAGAACTGGACACCTAAGATAGGTGATAGAACTGGACACCTAAGATAGGTGATAGAACTGGACACCTAAGATAGGTGATAGAACTGGACACCTAAGATAGGTGATAGAACTGGACACCTAAGATAGGTAATAGAACTGGACACCTAAGATAGGTAATAGAACTGGACACCTAAGATAGGTGATAGAACTGGACACCTAAGATAGGTAATAAAGCTGAAGTTTCATCAGATGATTGATATTTTCTTAATATTTTCGCCCTGAATACTTGATATCAATATTTCCAGCACAGTGAAGCAGTGATGACTTGTTCAATCATTATCATGATAGCTGTCCTGACCATCAGTCTTTAAAGGCATTGTTGGGCATTATTTTATTGAGCCTTGATTTTGATCCTGAATAGTTTAACAAAATAAAATATATTATCATATTATATCATCAATATTAATATTATGTTTAAATTTACAGTAAGGCACACATCATATAGACTTTATTATAGCTGTACTAAACTACAGTAATATAGATTTAGAAGAGATACTAAGATATGCATATGAAACTGCATAGTATAGTAAATGATTTTCCTCAGGACTCAGGGGAGTGCATCATTGACCCCCCCACACACACACAAAAACAAACCTTGCCTACACCACTATGCTTATGAATTATAGTATAATACCGTAAACCAGAGCATGGAAGTGCATAAAATAAGAACTAACTATATAATTATATATAGTTTCTTTTATATACAATTAAGTTAGGCTCAATGAATCGATGTACCGGCGGTACCAGTATCAAGTCCAATCAACCAGTCAACTAGTACTAGTTTTAGTAACTTTTAAAGGAATGTCAGCCGTAAACTAGCTAACTAATCTAAGCAAAAATAACATCACAAAATAACTTAATCATATTAGCCTATTTAAAATTTGAAGGCTTACTCCATAATTAAATGTTAAGTGAACTTAAAGTCTTTTAAAAAAGTTTAAGGCTGCCTAGCGCTAATAAAATATACACATCGCCCACATACAGTAAAAACGTTAAAAATAAACTTATGATGACTACGACATAACAAAGTACGCTAAACTTAGTCATTGTAGACAGCGCTTGGATGAGTAGTTTTTTTTATTTATAATGGTTACCTCACAATTGAAAACTAGAATCAAATAATTATTCACTATATTTTACACTTTACTTACCCAAACAATCGAACATGTCTTGATCGGCGATGTTTAATATTTCTGGTCTATCGAAGTTGTACGGCAATAGAAACTTAAAAGCTCAACACGCATGCGTAGACAGGGAAGCCACTAGAAATGACCTTTTAATAACAGAAGGGCTAAAAATAGACGAGTTCGGCGATTTACGTCAATTTTCATGGCATCCAAAGCCAAATTTATTTTTATTTTTTTTACAAATTAAAAAATTCCCAATCCGGAAAATTTCCTTACTAGAAGGCCCATTTTCCCGGTTTTCACGACCGGGAAATTTATTAGATAAATTCCCGACTATTTCACGTTTTCCCGACTGTGTGGGGACCCTGAACACAGATACTTGGAGCTGTTCACTCTCAAGAGTTAAATCCTCACTTTCTCAGTGAAAGTTTGCCAGGTTCACCTAGAATAATGCTATACATTTTGAATGGGGATTCTCAAAAAAATTAACATTTCCTTTATGAGAATCAAATTTAGGAGGAGTATTATATAGTAATACAGGTGGTCCGCCAACAATTAAAAACATCACAAAAGTTCTTATTCTACTTGCTGACTTACGGTCGGCATAAATCCAAGTGCAAATGACATAGACACAAATGCAACTGACCTATAGTCAATATGAAGGAGGGGTTTCACTTTGGCAGAAAATGTCCCCTGTTCGCCATCATCCATGGAACAGCCCGTCTGAAGGTCTCCTAAGATTCTGTTGACTTCTCTCAAACTCGCCTCCACATCATCTTCAGGTTCCTACAATGAATCAATATTGTAAGTAACTATGATAAAATACTGGTTTTCAAACAGTTGAGGGCAGGCCCTGTGATGGGAACTAATAGAAAAGGATGTTTGTTGGTGTCTACTGGGGGAATTTTGTTAGTTGAATTTTAAAAAAAATAAAAATAAAATAAAGCTCTGAAACTGAAAATAATTGCTTTAACATTTCAATAACTATATCACTTTTAAGGCCAAGTCAGAGAATACGCTCACTGACTTACAGTGATAAGCCAGAGAATATGCTCACTGAGCTACATGTGATAAGCCAGAGAATATGCTCACTGACCTACATGTGATAAACCAGAGAATATGCTCACTGACCTATATGTGATAAACCAGAGAAAATGCTCACTGACCTATAAGTGATAAACCAGAGAAAATGCTCACTGACCTACGTGTGATAAACCAGAGAATATGCTCACTGACCTATATGTGATAAACCAGAGAATATGCTCACTGACCTACGTGTGATAAACCAGAAAATATGCTCACTGACCTACGTGTGATAAACCAGAAAATATGCTCACTGACCTACGTGTGATAAACCAGAAAATATGCTCACTGACCTACATGTGATAAACCAGAAAATATGCTCACTGACCTACGTGTGATAAACCAGAAAATATGCTCACTGACCTACGTGTGATAAACCAGAAAATATGCTCACTGACCTATATGTGATAAACCAGAAAATATGCTCACTGACCTACGTGTGATAAACCAGAAAATATGCTCACTGACCTACATGTGATAAACCAGAAAATATGCTCACTGACCTATATGTGATAAACCAGAAAATATGCTCACTGACCTACATGTGATAAACCAGAAAATATGCTCCCTGAGCTACATGTGATAAGCCAGGGAATATGCTCACTGACCTACATGTGATAAACCAGAGAATATGCTCGCTGACCTATATGTGATAAGCCAGAGAATATGCTCACTGACCTACGTGTGATAAACCAGAAAATATGCTCACTGAGCTAGATGTGATAACTAGAGAATATCCTCACTGACCTACGTGTGATAAACCAGAGAATATCCATGTTTATATGTCTCTTGATCATTTTGTCTCCAAAACATACTACTAGACTAAATCAGAGATGGACCTTTAGTTCAAAGCCTGATAATTTAACATTTGAGGTTTGGGTGTTTTTACTCTTTAAAATTAATTTTAAAAATTTACAAATTTATAAGAAACATTTATTTTGTTACTTACAACCAAAAAACAAGGCTTTCTGTCTTTTTTAACAAATCTTTGTAAAAAATCTTTTGAAATTAAAAAAACAAACCCAAAACAACAAAAATTACTTAAACAAAAAACACACACTTGCTGTTGAAGAGTTTTTGTTTCTTTATCTTTCTTTTTGTTACTTCTTTTCTTTTTCTTCTTTGTGGAGGACTTGGCTTCATGTTGAACTTTCCCTGACTGAGAGCCATTTGCAACTTCAATGCTTCCATTATTTTCTTCATCCTCGTCTTTCCCATCGTCCTCTTCCCTCTGAGTGAGCTGGGAGCACACATCAGCATGGTTACAATAAAATATATCAACGCAACACTAGTAAAAGTTTATTTTTCTAGCCAAATCTTTCTCAATGCAATGATAGGTAGTTCAAAAGTGCTCATTTAAGAGATGAATTTCTAGCTTTATCTACATGTAATATAGCATTAAAAAAACAAACAAATTTCACAATTATTTAGTACCAGTTCAAACAAATTGTTTGATTTTCTTTGTTTCTTGTGCTTCTTCTTTGCAGTGGCTTGGTTGGTACTCAATAAATCTCCATCGGCATCATTGTCAACATCATCATCATCCTCACTTTTGGGGACCTTTTCTTCATTGTGTTCAAAGTCTAGCTGCTGCAGTCGTCTCAAGGCTCTACTTGACATTTTCTGCAACACCTTGTGCAGGAACCAATCTGTGATATGCACACAAAAAAAAATACTAAATTGAATGAGTATACCTGTATCTTGATATTCTTAAGTTTAGGGAACATTGAGATTAATGAAACAAATGATTTTATTAATGATGGCCAGTTTATATTCCATACTTCACGCTCAAAATAAAGTAAGAGATTTTAAGCAGTTTCTAGTGAAAAGTTTATGGTTTTGATTGCACTGGCATGTGTTTTTCTAAATGGCTTTATTCTGAGGAAATTTTATTTAGGCTTAGAAGTGACCACTTTCACTACCGGTACGTAGACTAATTTCCGTTATATGGCATGGCTTTACCAGATACTTTCATTGAGTTGCAGGTTAAAACACTTCAATGGAATAGAAATAAAAAGGTTTTAAAGTAATATTGCCTCCTGACTTCATTGAAGGAAAATTTCTTGATCATTATATCTATAAAATTCTAATTTAATGTTATATCTATAAATTTAAGGAGTTTCTACTATGTGTCATAGTTTGTTACTAACTCACTGTTATATTTAATATTAAAGCTTAAACTTAAAGAGTTTATTTTTCATTTCAACCATTGATCAAAAATTTTGAATGCAGTGAATACAAGACACAATATTATTCAGTAATTTTAAAAATTTCTTTACCAAATGTTACGTGCAAGCTCAATATAATATATTTATTAAATAACTTTATATTTTGCTCACAATGACTCACAGTACAAACTGTCTGTGTTAGTGAGTTACACTGTAACTGTAAGCCTATTACTATTATGTTGTGGTGAGTCTGGCTGCAACTTACTTCCTTAGTTGTCTTTTTGTAAAATATTTATTGCGCTGTATATTTATGTGTTCACGGAGCAGTGGTGTAGGAAGGGGGCTGCAGAGGACTGTTTCACAATTTTTTTCTTTATGTGAAGGGGTGACTTTTAAGGCAAAGTGCAGAATTTTTTTGCATGGAAAGGGGAGGCAAAATTCTCGGCCCACCCATGCCAGCATTAACCCTAGGGGCTTGCTATATTACTGTTAAGAAGGAATGCTTTACATTACAAAATGATCAATTTATAGTGTAGTTTTGTTATTTAAGCTCATCAGATCTTGTTAAGTGTTAGGCTAGGCCTACCCTACCATATTTAACTTATTTGCTTAAATGCAAATAACTTATCTGATTCCCTCAATTCTGAATGGTGAATGAGGATGTTTTAATAAAAAGTTGTATGAAATTATATCCTGTCACAAAATGAAAATATGGAGATGGCCAACATAAACAATTACAAATGCACTCCCATTTTAATGGCTCAAAAAGTACCCGGTACTTAAACTACAAAGTTGATTATGGTTTCATTTATTTTATTTGAAGTTCGCTCTATACAACTGTAATTATTATTTGGTATATGAAGTATATGTTTTTACCGAAGTATCTTAACTGACTAATTCGAACACTACACTACTACTTACTACTTAGACTACTACTACTGTACACTGTACTGTACACTAACACAGAATGTTGAAAATTCATAATAATGATTCATTATGCTTATGAATAGGAGTATGAGTACTATTACTATGACATGCTTAGCTACTTCTTTGAAAGTCATTGGGTTTTTTTTTTTTAAACCGTTAAAGAAGTGAGTAGCTTAAATTTTCATATACTTAACACAACATACCGTGTTAAGGACCGGTCGTGTTGACAAAACATAACCAACTACTTCCTTCCGGTAGATATTAATATTAGCTAAAAAAAAAAAAGGCTGCAATCTTTTAAGTTACTGGGTACCTATAGTTATTAATAACTATTCGCACCCAAAGTGGCTCCGTACAGATTAAATGGCTTCGGAGCTGGGTGTGATAACAAAAATAGTATGAGAATTATTTTTTTAAATTGTCTTCTCCTTGTTATTTCATAGATTCATTAACAAAGCAAAAATTAAAAAAACAACTAAAAAGAATAAACTTTTTTTTTTAATTTTTGCTTTGTTAATTTTTTCTTAGGACGGGTAGATTTTTTTCTTTCTTATTTTCTTTTTTAGTTTAAGCCATTTTAGTAGATCATTTTATTTTAAATCTAGTAATGAAGATGATTTAGATACATTTATTGTTTTCATTTGAATTTTAGAAAAGTAATAATATAAATTTAATTATTAAAATTAAATCCTTTATTTAAGATTATTTATGTGTATTGTTTAAGTTAAAAGATTTAATCACACAGTACTTTATGGAGTCTCACCAGGTATTCTAAATAATGAAAATTTCATTCATAATGAATTAATTTCAACTACCGGGTATTCCTCTACAGAGCTTGGCTTAGTCAGAACAAAACCACCAAATTTGAACTTTTTCCTTGGCACTGGGAGTCATACATGTGGACACTGACTGTTTTTCCTGATATCTTGTATCTCCTTTCAACAACTTTTCTCATTTGGCTTGACCTAATTCACAAGGTAGTTGCAATGAACATCTTAAAGTTAAAAGATGCTATTGTATAAAGCATGAGAAAGAGACTTATTTTTGGAGGACTCGTCTTTTTTTTTTTACCATAGCTGTCTACTGGGTCTAACACACTGGTACATAATTTAAAATTTAAAAGAAAAACAAAACCTTTTTGACATTTTTGTTTGGTTGTTAGTTATTTGAGTTGTGTACTCAAGTAATCTATAACATAAATTAGGGGCCAGTAAGGAGTAGGCAGCCAATAAACTCATTCAATTAGGTCACATCATTCCTTTGCCATTTGTTTCCTTTTACTTTCTCACATTCCTTGTTGGTACCCGTACAGTTAACTATTGTTTGTATCATTTCTTCATTTAAGTACAGATGTAATTTTTGAGTGGGAGCAAATATATGTGATCTGTGAAGGGAGTTTGGTTTCAAGGCATCTAAGTCATGCCACATTGTGACATTGAAAATAAAATACTGATAACCCTAAATAAATAGAGCCATTGAAAAAAATATAGTACATACAAACCATACACAAACAGAAAGACAAAAATCCACTTAAGTTTAGTTTTTTAAATTTGTTGTGACTTTTATTGCAAAAAATTAAACATTTTATACCAATTTTGACTTTTACGCAAAATGAATAAAGACAAATTTGTATTGCATTGTATTGTAAGTTATTGTACTGTATTGTTAATGAAACTTGGCATACACATTAAGAATAACATTGACATAAAGTTTAAAGAAGATTATTACACAGCAGTTATTGGAAATGTTACAAATGGCATGTATGTGGGGGTCACATAAATATTCGAGAACTCTTCAGGAGTAGCAAATGTAAAAATGTTAAAAACTTTTCTAGTTGGATATACCCGGTATATAAAAAAAAAAGCCTCTTGAATCTTGTAAAGAATATCAATTAAAAGAAGCATGTAATGTTTGAAGGCTGTAGCTAGAATACTTTTCCTCCCAATTCATTTGGCGTTCCTAAAAAATCCTGAAAATGCAAAATTGAGAAAAATGAAAAAAAGTATAAAATTGTGGTTTTTTTAAATTAGAGGGCTGCATGAACGATATAGGATGCATGCACCATGTACATATACCATTCATGAATTAAAAAACAATTAGAAAACTAAGACAGAAAAGATAGAAAAAAATTAACACACGAATCTAATAAAAAAATTTATTAAAAAAAAAAATTCTGAAAAATTTTCCTTTGAGATATTTGTTTAAAAACCATCCATCATTAAGTAGAGAATGTCAATATAAATAAGCATGCAAAGTTTCAATTATGTAGTTCCAAAACTATTCCTCCTGATTCATCAAATGACGTCAGAAAAAAAAAATTAAAATGCTATATCGATAAAAGCTGAAAAAGACACTGAGAAATGCTTATTTAAAAAAAAATAAAGTTAAAGGTTAGGCCTACTTGAACAAAATTGTGTGCATACATCATGAACACATTCCACTCGTTAATTAAAAAAACAATTTAAGTACATAGATATTATTGATAGAATATAAATGAATGCATTTTCCCAACAACCCACAAGCCTCGAGTCTAATAAAAATAATAAGATCATTAAAAACTTCGGAAATTTGTTTATGAGACATGTAAAAAAACAAAAAAAACATCAATCATTATGTAGAGAATATAATAGAAAAAAAACCTTTCAAATTTTGAAGCATGAGATAATAATACTTTTCCTCATAATACATTTGACGTCAGAGATAAATGGAAAATCCTAAGTGGACCACTTTAAAACGAGAAAACAAATTCAATTAAGCAATATTAGATATATAGGAGTAAAAAAAAAATGAAATTTAAAGCATATCAATGTGAAATTATCATAAAAGATAAGAATTTTCTAGATATTTTTACAAATGTTAAACAATATTGTAGAACATGTTAATGTTTTTTAATAAGAAATCAATAGACTCAGTTTAGGAAACAAAAATCTGCCCAAGAAATATAATAAAAATGGTTATTTACTAATTTTTTCGATTTTTTACCCCCCCCCCTCCCCCATCGTTACAAATCGTCACAAAAAGTTAGACCCCTCCTCAAATATAACGTCACAAATCTCTGCACACCCCCCCCCCCTTATAAAAATCCCTGTGTCCACTATTGTCCTTTACAAACCCTTAAGAAATTCGCCTCCCATGGAAATCAAATTACTGCACCCGTGACAGAAGCATTTCACTAGATCAGTGGTTCTTAACCAGGGGTACAAGTACCTCGCCAGCCTTGAGGTCTGGAAGACCAAAAATTTGTATTCAGTGGCGTAGCTAGGGGGGTGCGGACCACACCGGTCAACAGCATCTCAGGGAGTGACACCAAATTGAAAAATAACGTAATTACAGAGCACACACTGTTCGGTCTAACCGAAATTCATAAATGGATAACAGATGACACGTACATTTTCCACCCGTGTAACCAATCAAAATGCGTGTTTCGTTAATATTAAAATTTCAAGGTTGATGCCAAGGCAATTAGATTACCGTATTATTAGGTCAGAACCACACCGTTTTGACCATGTTTCAACGCCGAATGAAGTGTTCGGTGACTTTGGTAAGTTTCAGGAAGTTATTTTTATCTAAATTCTAAGAAATACAACTATCCTTTGATAACAACTGGCGATTCTAAGTACAAGTTACCGTTCTGAAATACATTTACCTCCTTCGCTTCATTTAATTTGTTTTTGTTCTTGTATTTCTTATACTGTGGACTAATTTTAACAAGAAGAAATACATCGTGAAAAGGGGGGTGGGCGGGTGAAACCATGAGCTTACCGGACCAGGTGACACCAACCCTAGCTACGCCACTGATTGCATTTGATGCCATTGTTAGTTGTTGCTGCTTTAAAAAAAAAATTAAGCAAGTTTTTATTGATTTTGATGAGCAGCAGTCAATGCTGAATTTTATTGGCGCATTGCGTCTATTGGTAATTTTTTTCCCGTTTCTAACAAGTTAATTAAAGAAATAAAACAACGATAGCTAAATTATTTATTTATTTTCAATTTAATGACAATGTAATTTATACGGTTGGGGGAGGGATGTTTAAAATGGAGTGGGCCTGCAACGCTGCAAAAAAGGTTAAGAATCCCTGCCCTAGAGCATTTACTAAGATAACCCCCACCCCGCGGTCAACCTTTTTTCCCGTTCCATCCCACTTCCCGCGGCCACATTTAGCCATAAATTCTCACGACTGTCATTGTAACTACACTTCGATTCCCCAACTCCTTGGCATCCTGTAACTTGATCAGAGGCCACTCTTCGGACTGCACATACCTGTACTCAGGGCCGGCGCTAGCAGGGTGCGGGGCCTTGGGAAAATTGACTTTTGCGGGGCCGTTGACGTTATATATTCCGCTGATAGGATATTAAGACACGTTATAGTCGTACTGGGGCCTTGCTGGTCATAATGGGATGCGTCATAACGGTAGCCAGACTGACCTCCAGACCATTTGACTAGCTAATAACTCCGAATATTGTGTTGACTGGATTAGGAACTATTGGCAGGCTGAGGTATATTCTAAATATACTACGGCAACGTGCGGTCGCCCACTTCAACATCCCCTAGCGCTGGCCCTGCCTGTACTCATTCTCTCAGTGATAGGAGTTTAAAAATAAAATAAATGTAATTGTAAGAAAGAATAATGTTAAAAATGTCCTTAATTTAGTGCCATTAAGTGCAAATCTTTACTACAATATTCCGCTTTTCATGTGACGTTACATTGCTTGAGCGCCCCCCTCCCCCTCGTCACACATCGTCACAAAAATCTGACCCTTCCTCCCTCCCCCCTAGGCGCGTGACGTCATTTATGGATGGCCCCTTTACACAATTTTGAAAAATAATTTTTAGAACATTAAAAACATTTACAAAATTTATATTTATAAAAGTAGTTGAAATCTTTCGGAACCAATCATTGCGAATTAGCAGTGAAAATAAATTTAAAAGAACAAGTCAAGAATGAAGATTATCTCAGCAAGGCCTTTTCAAACCCAGTTGTTGGGGTTCAGCTGTCTATGTTCTATATGGGCCTACCGGTATACACTTTTCTGCGTGTTAACTTGTCCGTTGGTTCACTAGTCCTGTGTTTGGATGTGTTATGGTGAATTGTGGGTTTACTTATCCTGCGTTCATTTGCGCGGCCACCGCAACGGACACAAACCATAAAGTTTATGCAGCATTAACGATCAGAAATCTGCTTAAAGTAAACCTATACACGGGTAAGCCGCGGCGACTGCGTTGCTGCCCACAGCCTTACAAAACAGAAACATGGCAAAGCCGTGGAGGCCA